TATATATATATATATATATGTATATATATGTATACACACGCGCGCGATTTATCGGATCGGGATTCGAATTTAGACCCGAATTGGAACAAAGCGTGCCGATCTTGCCCGCGATTGGACAAATTCCTACAATCTCAGTCCCAATTCGCAACTCTCATAGTAAGAATCTTTGTCACGAGCTTCTCTTAAGGCCTGCGCACATGAGAAATTGATTCAGGGTATTGGGTCGGGAAGTCGCTGGAATTTGGAATCACACAGATAACTTTTGAGCAACGAGTTCTAGTGACTTTTGCTTTGGCCAATTCTCGTTCATCAGTTTCCTCAAATCGCGTACACAGATCTTTATCAACGAATAACTCAACACGCGCGATTCAACAAAAATAATTTATCTTTTTTTTACGTTTAAATGTAATCATTTCCTTCTCTTTACGTTTAAAATATACAGGATGAGTAAAAAAGTCTCGGACACGATCGAGATATTTCACACATCTGAGACTTTTTACTATTTATATTTTTATCCTGTATACGTTAACAATTATTCATCAATGTTTCTTGCGCTATAAACGCAACGAAATATATTTATCCGACGAGGCGTACGTTCTCGTCACCGCACTTTACTTTGCACATCTTAAAAAAAACCAGTCTCTGCTAGAACCCGTTTCTCTCGATCACACAAGTTTTTATACTACATTAGATCGCTAACTTAGGTATGTGGAAATATAGGCAATAAAGCGAAGCCGAGTTTAGAATACGCATTTGTAATACAAACGCGCATTTGTGATACAACCGCGCCAACTTCACGAAACGCTAAATAAATGTCAAATTTGAAAATATTAAACACACAATCTGTCAAATATACTTACGTATAGGATGGAAGTCTGTGCTCGATTATGCGCTATAATCTGGTGGAACTCCGCGATCTCTGGCCGCGTACCTGTACACTCTCTGTCACTATACTATCGAGGTCTATCGACTCTCGCTCGTTTTTGCGTCCTTCATTTTAGCGCCGCTTTCAGAGCGGTCAAGGTAATTGAATAAATTTAATTTCGTTGTAGCTTAAATTAAAAGCAAGATCGTTCATTGTTGTTACTTACGACGAACAAGACTGATCTTCGATGATATGATTGCATGGTTTTTTCACACACAAACACATTTTTGTAAGAGATCCGTCGACAATTGTTTATTCTTCCGAATCTCTTTGACAGAGCGAATCTCTCCTTCCTCGCGCGAGAGAGTCAAATTTCTTGGTCTCTTCTTGAAAGCCAAGAACTGACGCGTTTGCCTCTTTACGCACTTAACACGTCGTTATCGTTTTTTCCAAAATTTCATGATCGCATGTCTAAAAGTAGCGTTTTGCAAATACAAAACAACGCGTTTCCATTCGTGACACACTCGAGCACAACGCAAAAAATATTCTCAAGACGGGAAAAACTATATTATTTAATTGTTATCTTTCGTAGAATTGCTTCGCGGAAAGATGATTTCCGCGCAAACTCCGGTCTTTCATCTCTTCCTTGCCGGGTTGTCGGAGTTTGACTGCGCGCTCGCTTGACGAGATACTATACGCAAGAGTCAATACAGCGACGAAAATCGTTCTCTCAATTGAGCGTCTGCGAACGACGCGGCTTGTACGTGCTCGAATTTACGAGCAATTAGGTCGAATTAGTCATACGCATTCATTAAGCGTTCGCCAAATTTGATGCAATTAGCATGAGCGAGGCGGAGACAATTGGAACGCACCCACATCTTATCTCGTTTTTTTTTTTTTTTTTAAAGACGCAGTTACGAGCGCGCTTAACTCGTCGCGCAGTTACGAAATTAAACCGCACATGGCGCAAGTGAAACGAGAGTGTCAAAAATTGCGCTCCCTTGACGCATTCCTTTGATCGAAACCGATGACAACGCGAAATTAATCGATCAAAAGAAGTCTCTTCTCATTTATTCAGTTTTTTCCATGTCGGATATATATATATATATATGTATTTTTCATATATTTAGAAAATCGCAATATATATATATATATGTATTTTTCATATATTTAGAAAATCGCAATTGCTAATCGAGTGCAAACGAAGTATCGATTAATTTTCTTCATGATATTACCGACTTTTGTCATGTTATGACGCGCATCCGGCGAAAAAACACTCGTAAAGCGATTCGCGATTTGTCGGCAAACTGTCGAATGTCCTGTCAAAGCTGTGTGCGCTGCAACTTTGTCGGCTAAATCGCAAGCAATCGGGATTTGAGCACCTTGAAGAGAGATAGGATCTAAAAAAAAAACTGGCGAAGAGATTTCGCAATGCGAAGTTATGCAAGTGCGGATGTCGCTACAGGTGCGACCAGTTCAAGGAACTTCTCCTCCGATGATCGTGCAAAGCAATTATCAGAAGTTTGCGGAAGACACACAATTCGAAAATACATTGCGCAGTTTCGTCACTTTGTTACGGACGCGTGTGCGTCGGGTTGGCTGTTTGCACAAAACGCGCGATAAAAGAACCACGCGACGGTTCGACTATTTAAAGCTGTCGTGATTATTGATGCAAATAATCCAATACGTATAATTAATGATCTTTCGTCCCATTATATAACTGCGTCTATAAATGTTAGGAAGAGAACGGATCGCGTAAAAGAAAAAGCAACACTTGCGATATCGACGTAACAATAATTTATTTATAAATACAGTGTAAATATCAATATTGTCTTAGCAAAATCTACATCCGCATGGGGGGAGGGAGAGGGGGAGAGCGAGAATACGGTAAAGTATTATCATGTATCATTCGCTCCGCGATGATTTTTATCTCGCATTTATTAACACCACTTAACTTCCCCTACAAACTACGCTCTTACACGTACAAGACACTACGGCACCGATATTTCACCTTCAAACAAAAAACCCCAGAAAAAAAAAAAACCAAAGACAATCACAACGAAAACGTTACGCTATTCTCGAAATTTAAGTACACAGAAGAGAATCGTTGACAAATCTCTCGCGGAAGTTTACCGGCTCCGATAACATCGTACAAATTTGATCAAATCTCTCGTCTCTCTCTAGAGATTTTTTAAAACCATTTCCGCAAGCGCTGTCCGTATAGAGATAATAAATATAAACGTAATTGTTTGTGCTTGATATTCAGAAATTGTCAAACATTTTTTATACGATAAATTTAAACAAAGCGATTGGTTCGCGAGAAAATTCGCGAACAAAACATTCACTTGCACGTCGTAGAGATTTGCAACCGATTCTCGTTACGATTGAAACTTTGCTTCGTTTATCGCGAATTTCCGCAATGATGAAACGATGCAGGGGGAAGTTTGTTTGTTTGTTTGTTTTGTTTTTTTTTTTTTTTAATTGACTGTCGCGCGTCGCGCAATTAGCGTTATGCGAGCCGCTTGTATCACGCTTTTGCAATATCGGTAAGTAATAATAATCGCCATTCGAGATGCCTTCTGCGCGCCGCGCATCGGACTCGAATATTCGGCGACGGATATCAATTTACGGAAGACAAAACGGAGTCCCGTGTCTGCGCGGATCGTTCGTTTGATTAATTATATAATATAATGCGAACGAGCACACACCGCTTTCGAGATTACCGTCGCGTCACTCACGCGGTCGACGGTCACGTCGCATCCGATTTCTAATGAATCGCGGAAATATAATTCTCGCGCAATTGGAGATTTATTACATTGTCGCAACTCATTCGATTTACATCACGTAATACGTCAAGTGTATTATATCATTGGAGAATTTATTACGTCGCGCAGATTGAGAGATAGATAAGAAGAACGTAAGCTATTTTTTTCATTAATTTTTTTATTGTTATCAGAGTGTCGTAACAACTTGCGGTCATCGAAAAAGAAAAAAAAAAACTGAAAAGAAAACCAGCGACAGCGAAAGTGACGCGATGCCGTTCATACGTCGTGAAGTTTTTATCATCAAACTAAATTCAAAAAATAGATTAAAACAATAACAATTTGAACTTACTGGTTATGGTCATTTGTATAACAGTGATATATATAATGTACACACACACACATATATGTATATATATATATGTGTGAGCTATATATATATATATGATTTTGTTACGTAGTCGATAATTGTGTTGTGTGTGTGAAAGATATATTTAAATTAAAAATATGAACCTGCCTCCTATAAATAGATTTTAGATTTCTTTACGATCTTTGCTTTTTTTTTATAAAGCGCGACGAGTATCGGTTCTTCAATTTTATTCCGCTGTATGCGCATATATATACATATACAGAGTGTCCCGCAGCTTATATGCTGTTTATGTAAAGGTGCACATGCTATTCTATTGGCTCCTCCCGCAACTGCGCGTCCGCGCGAAAGACTAGGCTGTTCTTACGCTCCCCTTACGCTGGATGCACGCTGATTAGCGGATCTTTATTAATTCATATCTCGTTAATTATTGCGAATCTTCCAAAATGGTATAGGACTTTTCCTTTTAGAATAACTCCTTCTTCTTGCCTACGAGACGGCAATTGTGGGACACCCTGTATAACCGTCTCTTCACTAATCATAAACTTGATCATAATAACGTTAAAATCCCGAATTAATACACGTCGCTAAATTATCACGGAATTGACATTGAAGTTTCGTTTTGTTTTGTTTTTCTTTTTTGTTTTTCGAAACAGTCTCGATAAAAAGTCTAATCATTCTAAACAGTTATTCAGAAGGCCACGAATGAATTTGATTCGTAGGTACGTATATAATTGATTGTACGACACGCCACAACACGCTAATCGAACCAATTATATATATCCCGGAAGACTATATTCGCTCTCGTGTGCGTGCAATTATTCTCCCGCGTGAGTCGCACATACTCACTCTCGTGTAAACTCACAATACACCGATCTGTAGCAACACGTTATTATTATCTATCCGTCAATTTTGTCTGTCTCTTTAGAGTCTACCTCGCCATTGGGAAAATATATACATATATATACATATATATATATACACGCATATTTCCGCACACAATATCCTGCGAACGGCTCTTATGATCGGATTTATATTTCTCTGTTTAAAAAAAATTTTGTTTAAAATTTTAACAACTTTAGATACTCTTACAAAAAGTGAGCAATTTCAAAACAGATAGTAAATATTGAAAATGGAAAATTTATTTAAAAAAAAAAATATATATCAAGCATTGTCTTTCGATATTTTTTCAATGACGAGGTAGACTCTAAAGAGACAGACAAAATTGACGGTCAGATAATAAATCTCTCCGGCTCTTATATATGATATATATATGACCGGATTTATATTTCTCAGTTTAGAAACTACAGAGCCTGAATGATTCATTCTTTATTAATTTTTTAAAAATTGTTTTTGTGCGAAAACGCGAGATATAAATTTTATTTGTCTTATTTGTTACATGTGCATAATTTTTCTCTTGTTTTTTTTTTTTTTCTTTTCAAAACTTATCTTGATATTCGAGCCTTCCTTCCCTCGTTGTTGCGAGGCAGTCGAATCCACGTTTTTTTTTCTCGGTCGATTTGAGGAAAGAGGAACCGATGTAACACACACAACCCGTACAAATGGTATATTACACACTAAGTATTAATTGACGTTATTATAAATTACAGCGATCCTTTTTCTTCTTTGGGCGATCACCTTCTTATCTGACAGTTCGCAACGGGACTTTTTTTTTACGCGGACCGTGCATGTTCGGTAAATGTCAAAATATTGCATAAAAACATTGAGATAATGTAAGTTTGAACAGACAAATTAAACTCGCAAATTGAGATGATTTCAAAAGAAATATATGTACTGCGGCAAGAACAAATCGATGACGTTTCGATAAGTAAGAGCAAACAATAATTTCTACAATATCGAGCTTTTCAATTACGCTACTTTAAAAATATAATATAAATCGAACGCCGCTCACAATCAGACTATCGAATAGATCGCGTATTTAAACGATCGCCGAATATCCACGTTCCGTTCAACAAAGTCCCGGCCGAATGTAATGCCACAGTCAGAGGTACCGAGAGATTCTCAGGTTTCAGTCGCTTTTGTTGATGATATTGACCTTCTTTATGTCCTCAGTGGTCATGTCGGCGTCGCCCCAGCCCCAAATAGCACCCTCGTGCGTGTGATGATCATCGGACACTCTCTCGTATTTCGAGCCGTCGCCCGTTCTCTCCGCGCGTTTTTTTATCATGTTCGGCGCCACGGTCTTCAGATCGTATGCCCAACCGATTTTGGCGAAGAAGTCGATGAACGCGGTGGTGAGGTTGGTCCGATAGTTGCCCAGCTCGGCGGCCTTGTAGTCCCACGGGAAGACGTGGTGGTAATTGTGCCAACCCTCGCCGAAAGCGCCGATGCCGACGGTGTAACTGTCAGTGGGACTGATCGTGCTGTGATAAAAAGCAAAACGCGCGTTTTTTGAAGGAGTTTGTAAGATCTCATTTTGCGTGACACAATCAGTCGATGAGTCTCGAAAACGCTTACTTGTCATATGGTTTCATGCCCCACATGTGCGCCGCGGAGTTCACCAGCCAGGTGAGGTGAAGCGAGAGCGTGTATCTGAAGAGAGTGGCGTACCACGCATACATGGGCTTCTCGTCCCAAAAATGACACGGTATCCAGGTGGGCAGCAAGAAGCAAATGACCGGCATCAAAACGATGTACAATCTGCGAGAAACAGAGATTGGACGAGATTTTAGAATCGTCGGATTTTTAACGTCGAATGTTCTCTTTTTTGTTTTTTTTTTTTTTTTTGTTTCAAAATTTGTGTCCGTCGTGTTCCGGTAACGTCAAGTTGTTTTCTGGAATCTCGTATACCTGCGTTGCCAGACGACGACAAAATCCTTCTCGATATCGCTCATGTCGATCGCTGCGCCTTTTTTGATAACATCCGGATGTTTGCGCACCAAGAGCCAGCCCATGTGCGAAAAGAAGAAGCCTCTCTGCACGTTGTGAGGATCGGCGTCCGTGTCCGTAAACTTGTGGTGGGCTCTATGATCTCTCACCCATTCGTAGATATGATTCTAACGGTATCACATTCGTGTTATTTTGATTTTCCGTGAAGTTGCGCGTTTAGTTTATAATAGCGAATATATATTTTACAACGTGTTTAAAAAACAATTGTCGGTAATTTTTAAACGCGGAAAACCTACTTGAAAGGCCATGGTCTGGAAGAGCATAAGAATGATTCTCATCGGCCACTTCGCTTTGTAAGACCGATGAGCCCAGAGTCTGTGAGCGCCTCCTGTAACGCCCACAGCTCCGAAAGAGCCAACTGTAAAAACTGGAAAAAAAAAAATGAAAATTTAAAGAAATCGAAATAAAAACAATTGCGACAATATATCAAAACGTGTTTTTTGAAACACTTTCGCGATTATTATTATTATTATTATTATTATTATTATTATTATTATTATTATTATTATTATTATTGCTAGATCACTATCAAAAAGACGCGCGTGACAGAAAAACAGAGAACACAAACAGACAAACACACCCCAAATAAATGTGTAGCCTTTGGCGGCCACTATTAAAAGGTACAGTCCGTAAAGTGCTCCGAGATGAAGGTAGACAAAAGCTATCACATTCCTCCAGACGATGTTCCATCGATAATTGGGCTTCGAGCTCTGTGCTTTCTGTGTCACTTTTTGCGTTACGTTCTTCTCCGACGTATTCTTTTGCGACACATCCTGCTGAGAAGCCTCGAGGTACAGGGTCGCTGAACTGCCGAACAAATTCGGCGCCATGTTGCCGGAATACCTGCAATCAGGTCATGTCAATTTTTACGCACAATTGAAATTAATTATATCGCGCATTTGTTTTGTCGCAAATACGTGTGAAAGAAAGAGAAGTTTCTATTCTCGCGATTCTACGCGAAAAAATTCTTCTTCTAACACGCAAATGTTCGCATGAGATATTGACATAAAAAGCTACAGAAGTATAACTCGACGTTCGACAACAAACACTCCTGCGTCTAAACCGTTCGCGTGTGTGTTTTGCAAACACACATCTCAAAGAAACTCTTCCGTAACAACGGCGGAGTTTTATTGCTACGTTAAAGCAACAACAGAGGCGCGAAATCGGCGATGGATCTTTAAAAGATTCCCTTCGGCCGACAAGTGCGTTCCACTTTTGCGCATTTTTTTGTTTCAAAAGGTGAAAGGTGCCAGACATCATCGTGGTCCATTGTCGCGTCTCTCTCGGCCATCAGCCGAAGATTCACGGCACTTTGATGGCTCTCTCGGTCGTACGTTATGTACAGCACGCAACGATCTCGTTATATACGGAACATTAACGTGCGGTTTTTACTAGCGTTCCGCACACACGTGCGCAAAGCGAAAGAAGAACGTATATGTTTGCGCGCAGATAATACAAGGGAATAGTTTCTAAATATCGCACGCGTCGAATGTCGACACGCGGGAACAAACGTACATATAGTCGCGCGGGAAACGATATTTCTCGAATTGTGCGCGAGAATGTGCAGTCGAGAGCAAAGTCGTTTCCCGCGAACGACGAGGAAACGTTACATTGTTGCACCAGAGAGAAAGAGGGGAAAGGGATCCGGGTAATCGTCGGTGATGTTACATTAGCGTGCAATTTCGTTGCGGTCCAAATGAAGGACGGTTCTCTCGAATGGATTGTTATCGCGCTTGTTGTTTCGTGAAAAAACGGTCGCGGGAGAGATCGATCACTCGCACAAAACACGCTGAATCGCGTCGCTTCGCACACACCTGTTTCGAACTGCGTTGCAGTTTTTGTATCGGGACGATTTGTCGTTTCATATCGGTTAACCGCCAAACAAATTTTGTCTCTAAACGTAGAATTACACAAATCGCAAAGTAAACAAAATTGAACAAAATTCAATAGCTGAAAGCAGAAGAACGAGAGTCACTTTTCGGCTCCGAACGAATTAAGTAGAGTTGCCGCTTTCAGAAATTTATTCAATTGAAAATTAATGGGACTGATATATTGAGAGAAGTGTAATTTAAATTGGAAAAGTAAAAATATACTCTCTATACACAGTTTTTTTTTTTTTTCAATTATAAGAGGAGCGAGAGTTCTCCGAACTCGGTCTCCGAGACAGAATAAAGTTGCCATTATCAAATTTATTCAGTTAAAAATTGACGAAACTGATATTGAATATAAAAATTTAAAAAATTTAAAATAATAATTTAAATAATAAAAATTTTACACACACTCTGATTACATGTATCTTTTTTTTTTATACACTTTGTGATTAATCGCGCAAAAGTTTAGATCACGACCACAACTCGCTGCTTAATCTTATATATATATATATATATACAGAAATCTTCGCGGAACGAAGTTGCACAAAGTCGAAATGTAAAAGCTAAAACTTTGTTCTTGTACATTTCCATTTTCTGCGCTTTACAGTTAATTAGACACGAAGCATTCCTCCCTGTTTAAAGCGTGCTCAGGTGACCCTGGCTACGTGACGACGTGACATATGTAGGTGCCCCACTAAGATGTTCCTTTCTGTCGGCGCGATTCTGTCTTCTCTCCCTCTCTCCCTCTTTCTCTCCGCCTCTAGGTGCAGCGAGCGTTCTCTCTTTCTCTCGACGCAGCGAGAGCCTACGCATAATTTAACGGACTTGATTCACAACACCGCTATAGTCACATTATGAATATCCAGAATCTGAATTGGATATCGCGTGTGCCACTTACGGGGCGTAATCAATTTTACACACGTTACACATTGAGCGCATGTGTTGTTAAATCATTAAATCATTATCATTTTCTTAATAATAAAGATGGAGATCCATTATCAGAATCGAAAGTGTGTTATCGAGAGAAAGAGAGACGACACTCGCGCAAAGAGTACTTTCGACGCAAGAAGCGCGATCGGTCTCTAAGTGACTTTCTTCGAAAACGTCGGAAAGTCTTACAATGCCGCACAAGGATGAAGGTTTCACGTAAATCGTCATCGGAGAAAAGACCGAGAAGAGGTCTCGATAATGCAATAAAATAGAAATTACAAACAACGGATCGGTTGCGAACGCGAACGTGATGGTGAGAAAATCGTCGTTCGAAGTGCCAACCTTCGAGGGGACAACATCGTCTCGAAGTAATGATCGAGTATTACATTGTAATGTTAAAATAATTGACCACAATTGTGTGAGAACATGAAAGTATCAGGAATATTCCTGTCGAAACGCTTTTTTTTTTTTGTCGAGTATCAATTGAAGACAATCATTTTCGCATTCACAGCGACCGATTCTCGATTTCGTGTCCCCCGCTGAAGAAAGAGATTCACGTTATTAGATTTGCGGAGCAGCATCGTCGAAGTCACGAATTACTTGCGCTGTTGTTCGCGGTCGAGCTTTTCTTCGCGATACAATCGCGTGAAAAAAGCTATAAAAAATAAATATATCGAGTTTATCTTTGTACGATTGATTATCGTCGTTATTCGATTTCGCAAGAAGATCGAGGCGTGTGAGACGTTCTTTTACGAAACAGAACTGCACCAATGCGCGAGCGAATAAACGCGATGAAATCGATCGACTCTTCGCGCGAATTAAAAAATAAAAAGTGAGTCACGCACTATTTTTTTTAAAGTAGCTTAGCGTTTTTTCTCACTAATACGCTCGTCAATGTTCTCATTTAATTCTCTCATTTAATTGTGCAACTTACGATCTAAGATAATTACGCCGTATTATCTCAGTTGTGAAAAAAGTTGCACGAAGCTAGTTAAGGAAAAAGACATATAAGTAGTACAAAAACGCATTGTAGATCTACATTAAATATGTAAATAAAATGGACGAGATATTTTTATTCTAACTGGAACCGGTCACGTGTGCGTGCTGTGCGTCGTAAAATCGCTTCAAACACACGAGCGTTGAATATTACTTTCGAGAGATTTTTTATTTCGCATTCGAGACTTGAGCAGAAATTTCCACTCGCAATTTCTACTTGTACAACTCATACACGTGTGTCTTCTGAGAAAAAAAAATAACGCGGAAAAAACGGGACAAAAATGAAAATATCTTCAGAGGTCATAAAGCCAGAAGCAGCTTAATTTTTAAGTTGTTTAAATTGTTTACGTACGGCATTTGTTTTTACACGATAATGAAATAATTATCTCGTTTCTGGAGAGAGTTGCGCCATTGCAATATTTGTTGTCGCTCAACTCATCTGCGTGTGTGTTGCCGTTCGTTGTTAGCGCGCGCGCGCGCGTTTAGTTTACTTTTCAACCGATCGCACGTAGCAAGTGCCGTTTTCTCTCTTGTTCTTTTCTGACCTAGAGAGAAAAGTTTCGCGCGACAAGAGGTTAATTGCAGATTAACGGTAAGTCAGTGGTACAGTGATCTATCTTCTCGCTTTTTTTTTTTTTTTGTTTTTCAACCACAGATATTTGCTGTAATCAGAAACTGGTAAAGAACGGATGCGATAATCCACGTGAAAGCGTCGAAGACATACATTTTCCGATCTCACAATTTCACGCGATATGAGATTCTCGGCTCTCGAGTCGGTAGTATCTCTAAACAACGAAACTCTTCGTCGCGAAGGATACGTCTGAAGAATATACACGCGAGTCGTTTTTGTTGCAAACTTTCAACAAGAATTTTCAAGTAAAACAAAACTCGTTTTCTTTTTTTTTTGTTTTTTTGTTTTAGTGTTGTTTTGTGTAGGCAAATAAATCTACAAATTCACACAGAACACACAGAAATTCCCCCCAGACAATCCACAGAAATTTAATTAGACGTTTATTAGATATGCGGACCTATGGACGTCTAATAGACGTCTAATGAGATTTGTGTTCTTTATAAGAAGAACGTTACCGCATTTATGCAAATAATAATAATAATAATAATATCTTTATCAAAAACTAAAAATTAAAAAATTTGTCTTTCCAAAGTTTCGTTTGCAAATGTGCAACAATACACGTAAAAGTTGCGAAAGTTCGCTACAAAAAGAGTTCGGTGTTGATGTTAATAAAAAAAACTGATAATTTCTAATTTTCGTTTCTTTTCTCTAGATTAAACGGATCTCACCGGGCGCGCGTCCGCGATAAGAGCCGCGCGTGTGCCCGCGTTTCTCGCACATCTCGATGATCACCGGTGAATATATGGTCGTAGATCTTTTTAGTAAAAGTAACTCGAGGCATTTCAAAACGGTACATGATGTAGCAAGGAATAGATCTTCGCGTGGCGGAGGAAGGGGAATACGGAGAAACGAGGAAGAGGCAGGCAATGCCATGAAGCGAGCAAGAAACAGGTTCTTACACGAAAAGTAGGCCGGTGTATTTGAGGTCATTACTAATCACGGGATCGAAATTCCGAACCTTGTCTCTCTGTGTGTGCGAATAGCACCTTACGTTTTTCGACGCGTCTTTCTTACGCACGTACGAAAGAACGGCACGTACGAAGACCTTCGCGATCACTCTTGCGACACTTGTCGCTTGTCGCGAAACAAAAACGGAAAAGACCGAAAATTCGCGCTCGGTCACGCATTCCTTTGCTTACTTCGCGAAAATCAATCGGAGAAACAAGAATACCTGGCACGTTTGTTGGTGAACAAGAAAAGAGATTAAGACGGATATGCTGAATTGATGATAATTAACCGAAACGTACGCGAGTGATTATGTACGTTATCACAAATATATTTGCGAAACAACATTGATCAAACTTAACAAGATGCAAAATCGGTCGCGAGAAAAGGATGCAAGTAGATTGTACGGCTGCTTCTGCATTTCGCGGTTTACTATCTTCTTTTCTTTTTAATTGATAGTTTTTTTTTGTCCGACTAGAGAAAGTTCAATTAGTGCCGAAACGTTTCGGATACTTGATTCTTATTTTTCTAATCTTGCTCTTACATCCTGCAACCGCTTTACTGTCATTTTTATGTTTTCGTTTTTCTGTGCGTTTTAACTAATTAAATAAAAAAAAAACTTAAATTAAAGTCGCGACGTTCCGGACACGTTTGGCTCTTATTTGTCGATAAAACGCTCCCCTGCGTCGCTTTCCGCCGAATTCGATATCTTCGTTTAGACAATTTGGAACATCAGTGTTACAATAAATTGTAATAATCTAAATAATTATAATATAACAAATTGTGTATCTCTCTCCCGTTCTTTTCGAAAAATATTATCGTTAATGTAATAAATTTTGTAGCAAAATTATTGATAACTCGAAGACGCGCCAATGTCGACATCGAAAGAATGGTTACAGACGAGTATGACCTACTAAAGTCCTTGTAGCACGTGGTGTTTTCTCTAGCGATTAAACGTGCTCGGCTACATAAGGTGTTCGACAAGCAGCGTCCGTTTCCTCTCGGAGAAAAAAAAAATACATGCATAAAATAACGTTTCTCTAACGTCAGTAAAAAAAATCTGTTTAACAGATGTTGTTCTTATAAGTACGAGAAATATAATAATCTCCTCCAAGAACGTGATCCTCGGGACCAAAGTCCTCGAGTAAGACGTCTTTTCTCGCAGCTTCTTTTCTTTTGACACACTAGCCGCACTATATTTCGCGTCCTTCGTTCAGAACGATTACGAGACACCGCGCGCATTGCGTAAAGCAATGCGCGCATGGAAACTGAATATAACTCGGTTCAACGACGAGTTTGCACCTCGAATATATCACTCGAGCTGTTTACCCGATTCGTCCGAACCTTGAATCTCTTTCGTAACCAAAAAACTTATTGTATAATTAATTTTATTATTAAAAAACTGAGATTATTTGTTACGTGTGAAACCGGAAGAAATTAAAATTACATCATCTCATCAATAACCGTAAACAATAAAAAATAAATGATTTCAATTAATAAAGAATCTTTCTCCAAAGATTTCTTCCACATATTTCCGCACAAACATCCAGCAAACGGCTCACATGACCGTTTATTACATTCCTCAAAATAAATGAGAATTTATTCAGAAGTTGAGATGCAATTTACCCTCGTTTTAAGGTTACGACGATCAATGTTTTCTCTCTGTGTAACGCGTACACAACAACAGCGTACAACATCCAACAAAGTTGCTATTTGTTTCTTTCTCCATTTCCTCGTGATTTTACTTTCAGTCTTACAGATTGCGTTTGCACGAATCCCGAGCACGTGTTGCAACATAACTAATTATGTTGCAGCGAGATTATATAAATTTCTTGGAATGTGTGAGTAAGCGTGTGTGTATGTGTAAATCCTTCCGAGGAGTGAATTTTCACTCTTTTGAAGTTGAATGTTCACTTCGAGAGATTTGAGTGAGTACTCCCGCTCATTCAAGTGAATCGCGTTCGGCCGCTTTTGATTCGGTTGCGTACAGTGCAACATTGTTGCACCGCACGCAACCGAATTGTTGCACATTGTTGTATTTTGCACTTCACGTTGCGCGTAGAGAAACGCACAATACACGAAATTGCAAATCACACGCGCGCGTTGACGACGCAGAAGCCACAGATCTGAGATTTGTATCAAATGCTAATTGCAAATGTTAATTGGCCGAAATGAACGATTTGCGTAATAGATTTATAATAATATCCGCTAGATCATATCTCAGATCTCGTCGTTTACTTACTAAGTAAGAAATTGCAAAAACCTAAAAATTAAACGCAACTTTCAGCAGTCAATTGATACACTGACTACTCAATTGACGTTTTGTGTCCACTAATTTATTGACGCGTTTTCGAATGCAATTGTCGCATTAATTAAAATTGATTTACGAAAATGTGAGGATGTACATTTATTATTTTCAGTTAAAGATATACATACGTTACATAAAATCGACACACACAATATCAGCAAACTGTTTTCTCACTTTTTGACGAGTTACGTGTGCGTTTTATTTTTTCCGAATTCGATTGTATCATTACGTCAATTTCGCGCGGATCTTGTTTACTTTCAAACAAAATTATTATCAACAACATTTCAGATAGATCAAAATGTTACATTGTTCGCGGAGATGTTACACAGCGCGTGTCGCGCGGGATTTTATTTTTCCGTCGATCCTTTTCACTTCCACTCTAATAAGCAGAACAAGTCGCTCAGGAAAGTGTGCCGTACGGGAAGTGTTGCAGGCCGCAACAGATGAGAAAAACTAAAAAAGCGTCAGCAAAGAAGAAGATCGGCACGCGGAGTCGCCGCGATTTTGAATCATTTCGATAAAACGAAAAGTTCCGAGCGCAAAATAAATTTTGTATGTGTGTGTCTGTGTGTGGAAGTTTGCATTTTTTGTATTTTTGCAGTTTTTTGATTTTTGTAGAGAAACTTCTTAAATGTCTTTTTTTCCACAACAGAGATTGTACAAAATTGTCTTGCACGACAGGCACGCGAAGTCGGAAGGCCGCAAGGAAGATTAGTTTCATAGTGCTCCGTATCTTTGTGTGAAATGACAGTTCGCACATGCAAGATATAATTGCGCGAATATACGACGGAGCGTCTCGCGGATAAAAATTTACTCGCGGAAATTGTTCGTGAATGAGTTGACGTTCGGAGAATTTTCCTATTTGTCATCCGAGAAACCAGCCGGTAGCGGTCGTTCGTTTCAGAAAGTGCCGGACGTGTAGAGAGAATGAAAGAACAAAACTGCAATGCGCGTCAGTAGTCAAAATTTTACATACATTCGCGCACATTGCGTCGCAAAGAATAGTAGCGTCGATGTTTTTTTTTCTTTTTTTTTTTTATCGTAAAATTCACAAACCAATTGTTGGACCAAGTGCGAGCTGTCATTGCTTACAGCAACGTTTCTCGAGATTTTTGCGAGTTCGTTCCCATATACGATACGTAATTCCAATTACTTTGCAGATAATTTTTAATTTCGATATATTTTGAACAAAATTAATTTAATTTTAATTAATTAATTAAATTCATTTTCTTTTAATATATTTTTAAGTACACACTACAATTTGAGAGTGTTTAAAGTTGATTTTTCTTCCATAATGAGAAAGCGAGAGAACAATTTATTAACTCACGAAATTGACGATCGAAAACTCGCGCAGCGTATTCAGAATTCGCGCACTGTTCAGGTTTTCTCGTCGACTCCCGTGATAAGCGAAAAATTCAAGAATTCGCTAAACAAAAAGAAACATTACATTAAATAACGGTGATCGATTGGCAACTTACGTTTGGCACGACGGATGAACGTCAACGAGATTGCAAAAGTTCGTTGCCGCAAGGATCACTCGTGAACGCTCGTGAGAAATACAAGTGACACAATGATTTCCCGGTGATTCTCTCTCCTTGGAAAGGATGGTCCGACCCGACGGCGAGTTCACTACGAAATAGCGAGATGCTGAAGCGTATGTCCCACTTATCAGTTTCTCGCGTCGCCCCGCGTGTGACGCGACGTGGTCATCAACGAAACTCTCCCCCCTGACCACGGCTTTTGTCCTAAAAAATCGCCACCGCCGCGACTCTTGCGGAGGCAGCCGACGAGCGGAAGTTGAAGTCGCAAAAATCAAGAAGAGTGTGGGATTTGATTTTGCAAACACGCGCGGCTTGGTTTTTCTATTCTTCTTCGCGTCCCCAATCGTTTTCCGGCGATACATATTTACTGCGAAGTTTGTTAATCAATCTCCGATTGTCGGTATTTGTATGCAAATCGCGCGCATGCGACTTTTCAAACCTGATTCCTAGCTTGAGCAATTTCCGCGTATAATTAATGTAAATAAAATTTATAATTGCATATGAAGTGGAGATATAGTCATCACTGAATTCGATTTATCAATTGACCTTAACTTAGTCATAATTGAAAGCCCGTATATTCGCAGTTTTTAAAGAAATTAAAGTTTTAAATTAATTAGTTTCTCATGTTTCTAATCTGAGATAATTTTAAGTGGAAGATTTGTTGTGCGAAAATTATATTATATAAATTTGATATCGTCTCGCTGTCATGTAGTAACGACTGTCGTTCGATCGGATTCTTTTATATACATGTACATGCGGAAAACATTTTTGCTGGAATAGCAAGATGATCAATTACTGTACGGCCATCAGCAAGAAAAATTTGCTAAGTCTATTGAATTTATTTGCCAACAAAACACTTTTTTGTTGGTGAAACAAACAATTCGGTAAACTTAGCAAAGTGTTTCTTGCTGGCCGTGTAATAGCAAAACTTGTTTTTCTAGATTGCCCTCATTTTGTTTGTTTTTTTCTTTCCAATTCGCCTTGACTAATTTAATCGCGAAAGTTTTACTCAATTTCGACGAAGATAAGAAATAATATTAGTATGTTCAGTTTCGCAAATCCACGAAATGCTTAATGGCACGCTAAATGGAATGGTTTAAGAAGCGCTACACGACCGACCGACGCTATGTAATTTGGATCGGGAACAACGAAAGCTGCGGTCTTCTTCGCCGAAGAAGGCGGATTAGACCGTTGTTTTGTCGGCGGAAAAATGTTGGGAATTCGAAAGTGAAGTTTTTTTTATTTCGCGTTTCAAGTGTTATTTTCGACGAACGAGATTGTCTTCGATTTTGCGACAGATTCCTTCGTCTTGTTTCAACTTGCTTAATTACGGGTTTGCAGTATTTCACGAAGATGAATGTTCAACTGACAGATTTCTCTCGCGGAGTGTACGATTAAACTCGAAACACACAAAATTTACAACTCACTAACCCGCTTTGATATTTTATGGAAGAATTTGTTCTTATTTTATCGCTGCCTTGGAAATCTTTCAAATGTATGTATCAATCGATCTTGTTCGACAGAACTTGGACATTTTTAGTAAGCGCTTATTGTTTGTCGTCTGTGATTATATTTCTGTAGTAAGAACAACTGCAAAAATATAAATAAAATGTTAATCACGAAGTGAATCAGAAACGGGTAATTGCTGTGAAACGCGAATACCAATTAGAATAACATTTAATCGACGTCAATTTATAAAAAACAAATGTTCGGAAAAAAGTTCTTGGTAGTAATTATACATTATTTATATGTAGTCTTTAATCAGATATCAAGGTTACTCATATAGGCAGGACGTTTTTCTTAGATAAAAATCACATCCACTCACACACATATAATAATAATAATATGATAGATGTGATTTTTATCTAAGAAAAACGTCCAGCCTATATGAGTAAGTTTGATATCTGTGATTAAAGACTACATATAAATAATTTATAATTACTATTCTTTTCTCTCTCTCTCGCAAGAGAGTTTTAAGCAGTCGAATTTGTAAATGCCTATATGAATAAGTTTGATATCTGATTAAAGACCACATATAAATAATTTATAATTACTATCAAGAATTTTTTTCCAAACATTTGGTTTTTATAAATTGACGTCGATTACATGTTATATATAATCAAAACATTCTGGTTCTAATTATTTTTGTGTAAAATTTGTTACAAATACAATACCCGTAAAAGAAGTGGCTCATATTTTTGCCGAGTGTTACTTATTACTTCGTTTGATTCAGCACTTTGAGTCCGAGGATGTTCGCCGTATTTCAGATCACAATTTTATATGTATTAAACATATATTTTTAAAAACAGATATGGAGATAGTATAATAAAAAATATTGAAATTATTATTTTTTCTTTTTACTGCAACAGAAATACTAGAATAAAAAACGCGATTTGTTCGAAAAATAAGTGTAACAACACGTTCATAAGTGTGTCGTATATAATTAAAAGCAAGTAATTATACCAATTATCTTACTTGCATCATGCGTATTCGTTTTCTTTTTTAAGAAATAAATTTATACAAACAAAACCTAAAAAAAAACTTTTACGAAAAAAAAATCCTCGCAGAAATCGTGTTCGATTTTTTTTTTTTCTATCGTTGATATTTGAATTTCGCAAAACAACTACTTGCATGACTTGTATGTGAGACGATTACATATTTTAAAAACAAAAGGCAAACACATCGAGGGAGATCGTTGTGTTTGTCAGGTTTGTGACGAGAAAGAATTTGACGAGGCTTACTCGCGCGCACACATTCGTACACACGTACAAAATGTCAAACAAAGTGATAACAGAATTTCACGTCCCTTTGGCAAACATTTGTTGGCGCATAAATTGTCAGTCTCGTCAAGGCTGATTTTTTCATCTGGTGAAATCATTTTTAGAACAACATTAGAGAGAGCGTCGTGGTTTTTTTTAGTTTAAATCAATCGTGTTGTAATTAAACGTCTATATTATAACAATTAAAATCTACTCACTCGTTCTTTCAATATCTTTAATGTTAGTGCTTATCTCTGGAAAAAAGTCCTGGCTGGACAAAACTTCGATGTTTGTTATAAATAATTTACATATAATTTTACATATTTTATATATATACGATTGTGCGAGATGATCTTTTGTATATGATGTTTTATCATTACACACAATCAGACGTAAAATTTGTCTATAAAGATTTTTTTCCAAACATATTACAAACAAGTTACATAATAATGTGTCTAACAATAAAACAGATATCAGTTATGCAATGTTGGCAAATGATCAGTGTGTATGATACAATAAAAAACCACTTTGTATGATACAGTAAAAAACGACACGTAACACGGAAATAAGATAAAATATATTTAAATGATCAGGCACGTAAAGTGATAAAAACTAATAAGCGATTGATGCATAATGTATACATTAATGTATCATATTTTTAAGCGTAATATTTGCACATTGCGTTCTCAGACACACATGCACGTTTGTGTAATTTTTAAGATGTTAATTGTACAACAAAGATTTCTGATACGTTGAATTCTTTTAATTCCGGTAGAATCGTCGAGCAATACGATGCCACAACACCGAAAACTCATTTACAAATTCGATTCCTTAAAACTCTCTTGCGAGAGAGAGAAAAGAACATTTTCGGACGCAAATTGTGCGAATCCAGAATGCAGCGGCACACACGACAAAAACAGAAACAAATACAAGACGTTTCAATATAAATAACGGACGAAGATTGCGCATCGTCATGCGTTTTCTTTAACGAACAGCCTAACGCAGGTCTCTCTCCGAACGATATATCGAACGATGTTTCTTTTTGCACGCGAGTTTTCATCGTCGTGATAATTGTCGTGACAGAGAAAGCGAGGAGAGAATGAAATAAGATCGTTTCATTTTCGGAAGACGCGCAGTTATCACGAGACTCGCCGCTAGCGATTGAACTTGCTCCTCTTTCGTTCGTTAATCGTCGTTATATTTCTCTTTCGAGAAGTAACGTCACAAAGTAGTTCATGCCGAGATGAAGAAATTTTCTTATAAGAAATTAACGCTAATTTTATAAAGACAGAGGGAAAGAAATTAAAAACCAGAAGAAGGTGCAAATTTTTTACGTGTGCAACTAAATTAATTTAATAAAATTAATATCTTTTATCAACGTCATTGATTAAATTCAATCGATTAAATTCGATAGCAGAGATTTGCAAATGAGAATTTTGCATTCAATCGAATTAGTCACTATACATTGCAAGTGTGTGCGTGAATCAAATCGAACGAGCAGGTGTTTGTCGCGCGTGTGTGCATGCCGATTTCGACGAATAAAAACGATCGCGACAACGAGAAAACAAAAGGATGCGGCCGATGAAATTCCAGCTGCGGACAGTTGCGGCTGGTCGATGCACCTTCTCGCGCCTCGGGCAAAGGATCGCGCGCCACCCCCGATGGGGTCGCATGAGACCTGCACCCTGGCGCGTTCTCTCGATCATCATCGCACCACGCCGATCTCTCTCTCAATATGTCGCAATTAACGCGTACGCGTGAGCTGATCGCGAACGTGTTCCAAGGCGCGCCTGTTTACGATAAATATAAGGTTCGAAAATAGCAAAGATGTACTGTACACGGGATAGCGCCGGCTGGTCCGATTGATCCGCGGCGCCACTACTGCCGTGCCCAAGGTCCACGGCGAAGGAGAGTACTCGCTTTCTTCTCTGTCGATAAGCGACACACTTCGGAAAAAAAATTTAAAACAAAATAAATTGAACAAATTGATATTTTTTTTCGAAACGTAAAAAAACATTTATATTTGAATTCATTTTAATGGCCTCTTATTTCCAACATTTTGTTTCTCTTTATCATTTGTTAACAATATCGCATTATTAAACTATACTGAATTGACAAAAACATTTTTGTGGAGTAAAATGAAAAGCAATTCGTGAGCAACTTAATCTATACAATGATGTGCTTTATAATGAGTTTTCATGTTTGGCAATCTGGGTTATTACTCTCTCAATCTTACGTTACTAAATAATAATCTTATTGTAAAAATAGTTGCGAGTGCATGATGCGAGATAATAAAAAATTTCACGAACAACTTACTTTGAAGCGCACAGTCAAATGTTGGAGACGGAAATAAGAGGCAGGAGATTTATACAAGTACCTCCTCCAAGATATTGCTTATCGGTATGAGCTTAACCTTGTGAAAACACTTCAGTAAATTGAAATACGAAGTGTAAAGTAATTTTAAATCGTTAACAAAAAAAAAAAACTTTAACCTTTTGACAAACAAGATCCTCTCTAGCACTTTTTACAATAAGATTATTTAGTAACATTAGATTGAATAATAATCCAGATTGCCAAACATGAAAACTCAATATAAAGCACATCATTGTATAGATTAAATTGCTCACGAATTGCTTTTCATTTTACGCCACGAAAATGTTTTTGTATTCAATTCAGTATAGTTTAATAATGCGACATCGTTAACAAATGATAAAGAGAAACACTTGCGTTTTATATAATCAGTACGTTCTTGTCAGCAACAGTTTTCAAAATATAATAAGAACAAGTTCTCAACAATTTATCGGCAATAAACTTAAATTAAATTTTTATCAATTTATGAATGGAAATCATTGTTCACATATTATTGACTCAATTGCCATAAACATTAGTTACAACAATTGTTCCACAGATGTTTGACAATAGAACTCAGCACATTGAGTCAATAATATGTGAACAATGATTTCCATTTATAAATTGATGAAAATTTAATTTAAGTTTATTGTTGATAAATTGTTGAGAACTTGTTCTTATCATATTTTGAAAACTGTTGCTGGCAAGAACGTACTGATTATATAAAACACAAGTGTTTCTCTTTATCATTTGTTAACGATATTACATTATTTATACGTTGATAGAGAGATGTAAATAATGAATGTAGAAAAATGATATTTTTTTTAAAGTAAATTTAATATATTTTAAATTATGATACATTTTTTTCATATAAGTCACTAGAGCCTCTGCAAATATTTATTTTGATATTTCTGTGTAATTCAATTTAATAAGATGTTAAAATGTCGTTCATAAGGTGTTCATTCTTTCAAATGTTAATTGCGTTCAATAAAATTCTGATATGTAATGTCTGAGTTGTAATAATACAGTTCACTCGGTGCAGCGAGGTATAAACAATTGCATACTGGCAGGCAAAGCTAGAGAGGTTCACTATATGTATATACGCGCGTATATTATTATTATTATAATTGTGTTTAACGTATTCGATTTTAGAGAACACATTTAACATAGTTTTTTCAACTTATAATTTTTAGTATTTATAAAATAACAATTTTTTTCTTCTCACGAAAGACGTAAAATTTCACATTCCTGTACTCTTTGGGCGTGAAAATAGAACGTAGTTACGACGCGTCATGCAATTTTCTCTTCAAAAGCCGGTCACGCTCAGTGCATGCCAAATTGTCGCATTGTGAAACGCGAACAAACAATAACGCGACACACACGCGCAATTATCCGAACCTTTGCAAGGCTGATATCGATCGCGAGACTGTCATTTTTTTTTTTTTTACATGTCGATATGAGGCGTATCAATAAATAGATGGATCAATTTTCCCTTCAATTGAATACATGTGTAGACTCATTACTCCGACGAGGTCTCGCATAGCTGGATTCCTTCGCATGATTCGATATTCGAGCATACGTGCACGTGATCTACGTGGGATACAATCATATCGCGCTTGCGATACATGCGACACAGTTTTTATTAATAGATATAATTTTTCTGATATAATTGAAGTGAAAAGAATTTTTATTAAAAAAATTTTTATTACATCTGTTTTTATTGTTTCTCAGCGTCAAAAATTATTTTTTTTATCGTTGAAATAAAAAATCACATTTTTCTTATTCTTTTGTTTCGAATCCATTTAAATTCACATTTAAATACATTATCTTATCATTATAAATATCATTTAAATAATCCTTGAAATTATCGTTTTACACATACGCAACATATATTCTCATTAGTCCGAGTAAAATCTTCCGGCCTTATTATATGGACCTTCGTAGCGCCATCTACGATGATAGAAATCCAGCTGTGCGATGTGATGACGGTTCGTAAGTAACGGGGGAGTCTGACGCCACATGAAAGCCGGCGCGTCGCGACGACGCTCAGTTTGCATTTGCGCGCGCGTCCTGTCGGCAGGCCGATTGCCAAATTTTCCTTAGAAATTTCTATTGTGAAACTTCCGGTTTCACGATAGAATAAAACCTGTTGAACGAAAAAGAAAGAAAGAGAGAGAGAGAGAGAGAGAGAGAGAGAGAAGAGACAGTGCGGGGTTTGCTCCGACTTGAAAACGTGCGTCGCGACGCGTGCGAAAGAGCCGACGATAATTTCGAAATCGCGCGTAATTGATTGAATATTGACTAATATTGATTAATCAATATTGATTTAATCAATATTGATTAATATTGATTAAACACACTCACACGCATATACGCTCTAACACAAAACGTTAGACGAGGTCGGGATTACATTATTAATCACAAAGACTATTTGTTTTAGCGGCCGGACGATTCTTCGGAAGGAAGAAAAATTCAAAACCTTTTTTTTTTTTTACATTTAAATCAACCGGCTGATCGATGTGCGGGACAGACCGCTGATAAGAGCGTCACTACTTTTGAGATAGAAAAGACACGTTTTCTACGCGTGAAGCTGTTACATACACACACACACGAATAAATTCGGCGAATTCGATTTATCTCTTGATCGCTTTCTCTTTCTGGAATTTCGCGCACGTGTTTATCGTGGCTTTGCGGTGGGGCGAGAGCAACTCGATATCTCGGGACTTTTATCGCCGAGCGTGTACGAGAGAAACCGCACACATCGCGATATTCTGTTGAATCATCGGCGACTGCGAGGAGAAGACCGGGTGCCGCATTATATTTCGCCGACGTGTGAGTACATTTATTTTCTAAAATTCGGAGTTTAAAGTTAGATAAGGTTATAGTTGAAAAAGATCGGACGTCATCGCGTTCGAGAAATCGATCGATCGATGACGAGTGTAATGAAGCGTTTATGTAATAATTGAGAGAGAGAGAGAGACGCGCATATATTTCTGATTTAATCTGAAACGTTCGGATGAACGATCAAGAATGCGAGATCACGATCGCGCGAGAGATCGAGCGTCAATTAGATTCATTTTGATTTGCATTGCATTTCGCCGTGTGTAACCCACTTTCGACGCGACGGAGAACGTCGGCATGCGTGTTTTTAACGATTGCCGGTCTCGTCCGGCAATTATCGATGACCGCGTGAGGCTGTCGTGGCGCGATTGACGGTCGCGTTAACGACAATACCTAATAATCCACTGGAAGTGAACTCGGCGCAAACAAGACGAGCAATTATGCCGCTCTACGTGTACAACTTGGGTCGTCATGAATGACATAACAAGTAAACACACGTCGAGTATTTACTTGTGCGAGTCATTTCTTGCTTCGTAATACCAGTTTAATTTCAGATATTTACCGTCTCTTTTTTTTCTCCTCTCTTTCTCTCTCTTTTTTTTGTCTCAGTCTCTTTCCTACAACTATAATTATTCGAATAGAAATTAGATTATTCAATTAATAATTTCAACTTGTTCATTTTACTACGATCATTTAATTAGATTGAAATAATTGCTGTAATTAATTAATTAAAATTAATTAAGTCAAGCATTTGCGAGCAATTCCTATACTCCTTTCTGTCCTTTCTCTGTCCACTCGGTTCTACAAAGTGTAGAACCGAACCTCAGTTTACTTTTTAACAAGTGTTCACGAGCGGCATAGTATCCAATAAACGTCAACGTCTGAATGATTGATATATCGGTTTTGTTTTTTTTGTAATTTATCTTCCGTCAGATGTCATCAAACTTGATTAATTACGTGTAATACTCTTTATTTGTCCCTGGTGTGCTACGTTTGGTCTCAAATAGGCAGAATTATTATTCAATAATGAGTCCGAACTAACATTGTTGATTACAAAAGAGAAAATTTTCTCTTCTTATCTTTGTTTTTTTTTTTTTTTTTTAGTTTTGCGCCAAAGAAAAAATTTTTCTGAAAAACATATGGCCACCATAAACAAGGGACGTAAATAATTTTTTTATATTCTATAGGAGTTTTGTTTTCAACACCGTCTCTCTGTCGCGTTTTAGCAAATCAGTTTTTGCCGGACGTGAAAAAGCGTCACCGTTCCCACGTGCTTGTCGCACGCAATCACCTGCGTATTTCTTCACCGTTATGTCCGCCTTACGTACACTAAGCACAGATCTCAGGTACACGCGTCTGAAGGCGAGCGTGTATTTTTCTATTTAATGTGTCTCGTGACCTCGAAGTCGCCCCATTCGCGACTTCTATTATTATAATCTTTAAGATCATCGGTCGATTCTCTTTTTAATGTTGTTTCCAAGTAACGTTACTCATTTTTAATATCGATGTTTTTATATTTCGTCCGTACGGCGATAACTGTAGACAGTTAACGCCGAAGAAAATTTTTTTTATTCCCTCTCTTACAGTAAAATAAAATAAGAAAATATTAAATAATGTTATTTTATTTTAATTTTTTAATTTCAAAACAATATTGTGTGTGTGTGTACGAAATACTATAGTAACTGTCTATTAGATAATTTAATGTTGGGGCTTTCTCTCTCTCTCTCTCTCTCTCTCTCTCTCTCTCTCTCTCTTTCTCTCTGTCAAAGACGACTCCGAAATTTGACGTGCGTACGTCACATTAAACAAATAGCAGAAGGTTCACGCGAGTTCAAATGCAAATTTGTCGATAAATTTTGTGCATATTTCACAAGCTGGAATTCTCAAAGAAAGCGAAAAGAGCACAAGGGATCTCTTGTCCTCTCCTCCTTACTAGTTCTGACAACCTCATTAGCAAAAAATAAGATATCGATCAATTTCGTCGATACACACACGTTTCTCCGTCGTTCGCATTCGTAAGTCGACTTCAAGGCGAATTTTTTTAACCTCCACGACGGACGCTCTCGCTCGTTATCGCGTGTACACATGTCTCTCGTGTAACATACACACACACACACACACACACACACACGCACACATAATGCTGGGCGTGGATTCGAATACCAGATTCATCGCATGAACGTGCAACTTCATTCTGAATTTACTGATTACGCATGTGATCGTTAACCCCGCCGTTCCCGTTGCAGATGCACATTTTCTTTGTTATTTAATGATATCCGGCCTATCGTATTCTCGTCGTCGTTTAATAATATCCGTCCCGACCCGAGTTCCTCCGCGGAAAACAAAAGCAACCGGTAATAAATAAATTGTCCTTCACACATCCTCGATTGTCGTTTGAAAGACGTTGTTTTAATTCGCTTGTTTTTTTTTTTTTTTAGAAACTTATCGCGAGATCAAATTTTTTTTTTTTACGCAACAAACAAAATCAAACGAGCACGTTTTTTTCTACCGAAAACGCGTTTCTTTTGTTACGTTTTTATTTATTTTTATTGGACGACACATAACGTTTCGAAATAATCGAAATCGCGACTTCGCGTAATCGGCTTCGCGTTCTCTCGAACGGCGTTAGCTGTGTTCTCATTTCAGTCTTCATATCTCACGTTGTTTTGTGCTCACGTCGGCGAAGATCGCTTAAGAAGTTCTCCGGCATCGAGAACTGACGGGATGACAGAACGATTCGACCGTGAACCATGAATTCCGATTGAACGTACACGTTATATAAACCGGGGGCAGATGAAACAACACACCGAGCAGCAGATGTATTGGGTCGTCTCGCAATTTGTATATAATGTAGATATAGAACGAACAAATTCTCTCTTCGAAGATCGTCAAGACGTTCGTCGGCGTTCGTCTTTTGCGCGACAAATGCCTTTCCTCGGCTTTATTGATCGGCAACGCTATTATACACACACCTACCCCGTCTTATCGCACTTTGTCATGAAAATAATGATGCAAATGCATTTAATCATGTCATCGTGTTAAAACGCACAATTTGCTCAGATTAATGAAATCGCTCTCTTTCTTTTTCTCTCTCTCAATCTCTCTCTCTCTTGCACATATCTAACAACAAATAAAAAAAAACAAACGCTAGAATGTCTACGCGTCGTTGTATTCAGATACTACTATCTCGCGGACGTACTTCTTTCTTTTCTGGAAAAAATAAAAAAAAATGGAGATGACCTTTGCTCCGACATTTCGTAATTTTTATTGAACTCGCGCGATTACGGAGACAAGTAACTTTCGCGGCCTTTATTGTTCGTCTTTTTTCGTACAATAATCTTTTGCGGGTTGAATTCTTCTGTAATGTAAAATCTCGAGCGTGCTGCAAATTGACCCGAACGAATCCGATCAATTGGCGTTTGCTGCTCCCGTCGGGGTTTGATCATCGATACGCGTCGCAGTTTTATAGTTAGGCGTTTCGATTTGAACAATCGTTCAACTTATCTCGGAGATTCGAAACGATTGAGATAATGTGTGTGTTACAAATATATTTGTACAAATATAAACAAAAGTTCATTCCTCCCGGATTGTTTTATTTTCTCACAATCGAATAATCTCTAACTACATCGAATACTCACATTGCGACGTCGCTATTTATATCGTTTAATTAAACATGTGTGCTTCTGTACATTTAAAAGTCGTAATCTAATCGTATGAAATGTGAGACATAACAATTTAAACGAAGGATGAATCATGTGTCAAAAGAGAGATCAATCGTCACACAGATTTGCGTTAAAAATATAATCATTTTTTTCTTTTTTTCGCGATATCTTTTTTTTTTTTTTTTTTTTTTTTTGAAAGTAATATTGCTGGCTGTCAGAGATTATATTTCTACACACAGAATAGAACGGAAATTCCAATCTTGGATATTGCCGCTCGTTTATTAGATATCACATGGAACTGTGGATTAGGGTGACTCTTATCTACTCTTGGTGAACATTTTTTTTTTTTAATTTTTTTTTATTATTTTTCGCGACATCCTCTAGAACGGTTTCAATTGATAAACAGATAATCTGTGAAAAAGTAGACGGATAAGAAGAAAAAAGAGATTAAACATTGAAAAAATTATAAAATTGAAAATTAATCAAATAATTAATAACGTTATCATTTTCCATGAAATTTGAAATATAATAGAAAAAGCTACGTAACGTTTTATTATTCCTAGAATTCAAACACAACGCATTTTACATGTAAGAAGATGAAACTTTCCGCGAAACCAATCCTTTCTCAAGCGCGTAAATACGCGCTATTCTCCATTTTATCGCTTCCATTTTATCGCTTCAATTCTGATGTTAATCACTATCACATCGGGGAGGCTGATCAGAATTGATCGCGAGACACGTCGTAGTCCGGCGCAATTATTTTCAATTAATTCCCATTGCCCGAGGCGTTCGTAATCTCATTGCAAGCGCAGCGCACTAAATTAATTTCCACCGTGCGAAATTGAGCGTGAAAATTATGCAGCATTTCCCGTTGCCATAAAAATGGGAACGGGATACGCAAGAATGTAAATTATTTTCTCTGAATGGGAGTCGAAAAATCAAACAAACGATTTCCACGGTTAATTAGTCGCGCGCGCTAAGCGTCTCAAAGCGAGAACTCTTCTATCCGGTTTGTATGATCAAAAAAAAAAAAAAAAAAAAAAAAAAAAAAAAAAAAAAAAAAAAAAAAAAAAAAAAAAAAACTAATTTGTTATTACTACACGCGTTACTACTCGTCGCATATAGGCAGCTTTAGTGAAACATCGGGAAATACCTCTGAAAGATGAAAACGATCGCGAGAAAAAAAAAAGACAACACGTGCCGAAGATAAATTTATCGACGACACGCCCTGGGGTACGTAATCGTCGCGGCGCGGCGATTTCCAGCAAAAACTCGTTGCGTCAAGAATTAACCTACATTATTGCAGTTCCTCAACAGAAAAGAACTCACGCCTACTGTTGCGATGTTGAACTTCTGCGCTGTATTTATAGCTCATTCGGTTACAAAAATACATACGTCTCTTCTTCGAGGAAAAAGAGATCGGAGGACCGGTCGGAAGTGTGACGCTCTCTCGCTTCACATCGTTACACGCGCGTGTGTATGTGTTATTCGATAATCGTTGAGTTATAATTCAAAGGAGATATTTCTGTATATTTTTTTTGTGTCTAACGATCTCTCAGAGAGCTTGAAAATAACAACTTAATTAGACTTTGAAATATCTTCCAAAGAAAAAAAAAAGAGCACACACTAGATAGCGTCGTGATATTACGTATGAGTCGCGGCGAGATACACAGAATGAGTCACGTCCATTACGATACCGTTTAATTCGCGAAATGATTCACTGCGCGCGATCAATTCATTTACAAAACGGAGAGGGTCGATGCGCATTCGATCACCTTCTGACTATTGAGAATTATTTCCTTATCGTTGTCCGATAAGATGTTTGAGCGCGCGCGCTCTCACACACACGCACAGTTGTTTGAAATCACTGCGTACACTATCTCGAGTGAGAATTTTGCGATAAAGAAATCCACAGAATCGATATCAGAAAGTCTCTCACCGATAAGACACGGGATAAAAAAGCTAGAAAAAGAATTGAAAGATTTCGATTTTTTGATAAGTTAAATTAATCGGCAGTAATTTTATCGACAATTCTTACGCTCGCATCTCTTATTACAGATTTCACGCAAATTTGCAATAAGGGAGACGGAGAGAGAGGGAGAGAGAGAGAGAGAGCTAGTAAGAAATTAAAAACAAAAAGAAACAAAAAAAAACGGAACTTTATTCGTTAACATCGAAAGAAGAGGTGCGCTGTTGTTATTTCTTACGAAGAATAGTCGTAACACTCCTGAAAATAAGAAAACGCTCGCGAAGTGAGAGAAGATTCTCGAGCGACTTCTATCTTCATTGATGAAGGAGTCTCAAATCCATCCCCTATACTTAGGATTCGCGGCGCCACTAACGGCCCGTCTCTTCTTTTTATTTCCGACCCGATGTAACGGGTGTGCGCGAATGAAACGCGATATAATTCTCACACAGTGATTAAAATTAATCGATTTTAACGATTTCAAGAAACGATCATTTTATGTATTTGTTGCAAATTTTAGCTGCGTGTATAAATAGAGCCTCCTTTCGCGGAGAAATTGGATGAAAACGCGACTTGAAACGACATATGTCCGGTGGAATATATCAATTGAAAACTAATAATTGTAACAAAAAGCGGTCAGCTCGTGTAAAACGATGAGTTGTATTTATACGTCAGAACAACATACATGTTTGTCAAAGATGGAAAACGCGATATGTTCGAAAGCCGGCGTGTGTGCGCGAGAACAGAGGCAATATTGATCGCAATATAACCACGTTCGTTCGCAATTGTCGAGCAGCAATATCGCATGATTCGTCGTGGCGCTGAATCCCGCGGATCAATTTTCGCAATTAAATAACGAGTCAGTTAACCTCTCGTATATATATATATATATATATATGTGTGTGCGTGTATGTGTATGTGTACGCGTGTGTATAATAATAGACGTCTGCTGTGTGCTGTATTTGAATTTCAGTTATTTTTTCTATCAAACAACTGCGCGGTCTCATTTGCGTAAAAAACAAATTGTTTCGTCAACACAAAAATATCTATTAAATTTTTAATCAAAGTAATTTTGAAGCGCGTTATTTATTTATTGTTTTTTTTTTTTTTTAAGATTACACGACGTATAATCTACAAAAATGAATCGTGATTGTTGTAATATAGCGCGTTACATATTTCTATATACGTTCGTTATCTATATCTGTTCAAGATTTTGCGCGACCACAAGAGAGAGAGGTCGCAGATTATTTCGTCATCCGAAACGTCACGCCGAAGTAGAGGAAAATAAAACACGAGCGTAAAACAGGCAGATGTTACGTAATAAAAGGATCTCGAAGATGAATATGTCGTAATTTTATACTCTCGGAGCAAAGGAACATGGCATCAATGTGAAACCCACGCGGGTTTTTTTTACAAGTTGCATGAGATCACCGAACGTGCGCGTGTAATGCCTTAATAAATAATTATTATAAAATTTCACGTAACCTTCCTTCCTCCTTAATTCCAGAGATCATTGCTTAAATTTTGTATATAGGAGGCAGTATCTGACCTCCGATATAAAAAATATATCGCAATTAAGAAAAAACGCGGCAGCTTATCTTGTTTTTTTTTTTTTTTTTAGTTTTTAAAAATTCAGTTGGTTAAATATAAAAGATAAACGACACATCGATTTGCGATAGCTCTCGTACCAGGAGAAGGTATGTCGTAGATTAAAAGGTTAAGAGATAATTGAAACATTTGCCTAATGAAACACGAGCCGGCTTCGAGTCGGAACTTCATTCTGGAATATTCCGTTCCTTATTATACCGTCTTTTAACGTCACGGAGAACGGAAGAGTGAGAGTGTTAATTAAGATGTCAAGATGGTTTCTCTATTATACGCGTATTGTGAATCGATCTTTAGATTCTGAAAGAAATCGAAAGTTTTGCCAAATTGAATCACAAGACGCTCAGATAATTTCGCCCAGATAACGTATTTTCTCGCAAACGTTTGTAGTCTTTGCTCGAAGAAGAACGAACACGACGATACAATCGACTCAATTATTCACTTCGCGCGTAAATTAAAAGTAAAAATTGGAAAGTGTGAATTTAATTTTGAGTTTACATATGTAATTTTAACATTTGAGTTACATATGTAATTGTATTTATTATGTAAAATTATAATTACGTAAAAAAAAGAAATTAATATTTTAATTACTTAATTCGTAATTATGTAACATGTATATAAAAACACGCACATATCAGTGTGTTTATTAAAGTTTACCGTTTGTGCCTTGCAAACAATTTTCTTCGCCTTAGTAAACAGCAAAAAGCATAAATATCTTGTATATTTGCGACAACTGCCAATGCATATATAGATAGTGACGTGGTTTGCTCGTAAACTGTGCGCAATAATATTTCTTAACGTTTCGAACCGAGGATACCTGCAGATCTCGCACCTAACGTGGTTTAACGAGGAAAAATGTTTTATGCTTGGTTGATTCACTTGCCGAGAAACGTGGCATGTTAATGAAGCGCATGACCGTGTCACACTTCATATAAATTCGCAGGATTTCGCATCGCGACGTCGAGCGAGAAAAGTTCGCACCGTCACGCAGTTGCGATTATCGGAAATAAAAATCTTGAAAAAAAAACACAGGTGTTTATTTACTTGTAACTTCAAAAATAGAACGCCAGGTGTTACTACGAATTGAAAATAATCTAATCTCGATGCATAATCCGATAATTAGAAAAATCGATTGCTCTCCAAATCCCACATTTTAATCGAGCGATATATTTATATACAAATTGTATAGCGAAAAATTATTTAAAAAAGAGAGAGAGAGAGAGAGTCGAAGCACAATTTCAAAATTCACGACGTTATAATAATTATTTTGAGAAATAATCTTATCGCGACGTGATGCTTGATGACGCACATTATCAGCGCGCGATCAATATATATAATGTCCTAAAATATATTCTTAGATAGTCATCTTGTTTTTTTTTATATTGTGAAGAATTTTTTTGTGCAAAAATTTCCAAAATTACAAATATGTTGCGGTATTAACACAAACAAATATTTCTTGATAAAGTTGCAAAATTGTTTTGCCGCTTAAATCAAACGTTGCTAAAAAACAATTTTAAATTATTTCTTAACGCGTTCCACTTTGATTCTTTCAGATCTCTCATCGAGGGCCAATTTGAAATTTCGATCGAGGCCCGCTTCGTATCGGGCGTCGCGCGGCATCGTGATCGATAAATCGTGTCACGCGCGTTGACCAAACTGGAGAAAGCCACTTGAGATGCAGAGCGACAGTTAAGTCGATCCGCTTGCCGAAAGATCGACGAAACGGTCCCGTTGCCGGCAGATGGTACCTAGGTGGTTTTAAAAGATTTACGCGAGCTCTGCGAAGCTACGGGAGACACGCGTCCTTGTGTCGAGGATGTCGCCGTACGAGGAGAAGATATCGCCGACGTCGTGCACTACGTTGAACAGAATGAACGACGCAAAATCGGCGACGAAGAAGAGGACCGCAAGCGACGGATCGATGAAGATCGAAGATCAGGAATTGGTGAAACATTATGAGGACAATGAAGATTCGACTGAGGCCAAGATCGAATACGTACCGAGAATCAAATGGCCGGATCTCGCAGCGCAAATTTTTATACACGCCGGTTGCATTTATGGATTGTATTTGGTGTTCACGCAGGCGAAGTTGCTCACAACATTGTGGGGTAAGGTCAAAATCTCTTCTTCGAATTTTGAATCCATTTCGATCAATTATTTTAAATCGCTTCTTTCCAGACTCGATGATTTTAACGTTAAGAGCAAATAACTTTGCATCGTTGGCTTTTTTTTATAAAAACATATAATCTAGTTTTTTTCTTTTTTTTTTTTAATAATGTTTGCAACTTTTTTAATTTAATGTATCTGTTCATTATCTTTTTTTTTTTTTTTTTTAAAAAAGTATGCCGTTATACTTTTTTCCTTCATAAAGTATATTTCTGAAATAATTAGAGGTCTCTTATCATTTTTTGACGTTTAACTTACATAAAAAAATACAGCTTAGTAGAGAGAGATAAGAGGAAAAGAGAGATAAGAGAAGAAAAAATAAAATTACGTAATCTTGGCGCGAAAAAAGACGCTTAGACTGTTTGTAATCCAGTTGAGTCATCGATCGTATAGCGCTTTTAATTTCGCACGTCGATTCTGAGCATTATTCCGTATTACAAAACACTGCACGATGAGTAATTTTATCTCGCCTACCACACTGATATCCACAATTCGCGACATTGTTAGGTTATATAATAATAAAATTATTTTTAAATTTTTCTAAAATTTTAATTTGCGCGATGATTAAAAGCAAACATTCAAGAAAATAATGGAGCAATATATTTTCACAATCTTTCCAATATTTTCCAATTACGATACAACTCTATGAGCGCTTTTCTTTTCTTCTTAGATAATTGTTTTCAAAAACTAACAATCGACGGAAATGATTAATTGTCAATGATACGAGAAGCCAGGCCGTGCCAATATATATATATAATTTATTTTCCGCGGTACTTTGTTAAAGAACAATATTATCACCGCTGTGACGCACAGAAGAGTCTATGACGTACAAATGATAAGCCGCATTAATTTGTCTTTAAGTCGATTTTGCACCGCGCCGTTTAAAATACGCAATATATGCAAATACGTACAACGATACAGGAAACAAAACTTACTTATTAGACGAAAAAATATATTATTCGTAATAATACACTTGCTCTCTTCAACATTATATTCGCAACTATTCATCGTTGGTCGTGAGTAATTTTCCAAAAATAAACGAGTATTGATTATTTCATATTGATCTTCTCATATTGTTAGGATCTCTCGTAGAAATTATTTGTCAAGCATGAAACTAGCAATAAGAGTGTGTTTTCGAGTGAGTTATAAAAATCGTTGGAACTTGGCGACCGCAAACACACACGAGTATTATCTCACGTCATGCATATGCAATGACCAAGGCGACGTCGAAGGCTCGAAATAAATTTACATCACGCACGAAAGTCACATGCAAAAAGATTTCGTTTGTGTCGCGGAGTGTGAATCACGCACGTACACGGCCGTGGAAAATGAATGAAAACGCGAGGCAAACGACGCGAATGACTAAAGAAAGCTTTTACGAGAAAAGGTCGACAAACGAAAACGGGTTACGCAAACGCACGTGTTTGCGTACAATTGACGCTTAGAAGCCCGATATCGAACATGGTGGACTGTAAAACGGAAGAGTAAACCATGTACCGTACGATAGCGCGTCTCGTATTTCTGCGGCGAGAAACGTGCGTCGCCGCGCGTTCGGACAACACGTGTCATATCTTTCAGCGAAAAGATGCAAGCAGATTTAACAAAAAACTCCGCGCTGTATTTGTTAAAAAAAAAAACTAATCAAGAAACGAGAATTTCTCAAGAGTCCAACTTTGGATACATGTACAAAATTATTACGTAAAAATTAAAAAAAAATTATTACGTATAAATTTACGTATAAATTAATGTACACGTAGTCTAAAAAAATTTCGAATTGAATTCCGTTTGAATTTCTATATAATTATTTGCACGTGAAACAAAAATTATATTTTGCACATCGAGTTAAGTTTTAAGATTCTAATATCTCAATTAGTTTGACACTAAAAAAGCTTTTTATGAACATTCGTTTTTTTCTTGTTAAATTTAAGTTACTTAAAAAACTCTCACTCGCGCTATAATATAGTATGTGTGATTTGAATATTTTTTTTTTTTCTTTAAATTAAAAATCCCATAACGTATTTTCGTGGGATACGCGACAGAAGAAGAAATTGCGAAGTAAGCGCATTTGAATCATCCTGGGAATAACGCGCGTTCTCGGAAACATTATTTGGATGTTACATGTATTTTTTGTATTTGCAGTGTTTGTTACAATTTATACATCGGGCTTTGGCATTACCGCTGGCGTCCACCGACTATGGTCGCATAAAGCTTACAAAGCCAAATGGCCCCTGCGTCTGCTTCTAGTCTTCCTCTTCACGATAACAGGACAGGTACGTCTATAAATTTTACACGCAATAAGAAACATGCACATGTGAAATTCTCAGATAAAAAAAAGCAAATTATTCTTGCCGCAAACAAGAAAAACTCAGTCCCAGTCAGAAATACCTTGTCGAATCGACGTCGATTCGACGTCGATTATACTAGTCGATCTACGGTTGATCGACGTCGATTTCTGACTGGGGTGTATCGTATCTGCTCGAGATGAAAGACAGTGTCTTCAAATAATAAAAAATTCACAGAAAATATATAATAATTAAGGAGTGCGCACATTTTCTCGTCAGAGAAAAATCTTTTGACATGACATTCTTCTCGCGTGTACGCAGAGAGACGTGTACACATGGGCGTTGGACCACAGGGTGCATCACAAGTACTGCGAAACCGACGCGGACCCCCACGACGTCAGGAGAGGTTTCTTTTACGCTCACGTGGGGTGGCTGTTCATAACGCCTCATCCCGACGTCGTCGCCAAGCGTAACGCGATCGACATGAGCGATCTGGAAGCGGATCCCATAATTATGTGGCAGAAAAGGCAAGCGAGATTTAACACGGTGTTTTCACGTTGCGTAAAATTTCAGCAACAATCATCTTTGTATTATTCAGAAGATTTCTGTTTTCTCTGTTACACAGCACAAATTGAATTGTTTTTTTTTTGTTCCCCCATAGGTTGTACGTACCTCTGTTTGCGCTTCTGGCCATCGGACTGCCGGTGAGCATCCCGTGTTACATCTGGTCGGAGTCGCTGTGGGTCTCCTTCTGGGTGAACTTCAACCTCCGCTTTTGCGTGAATTTAAACATAGCCTTCTGCGTAAACAGCGTGTCGCACTTGTGGGGTCAGAAACCCTACGATAAGTACGTAATAACATAATAAAATCAGAAATGAAATTTAAAAAAAAAAGAGCCAGAGATCAGATTAGACGAAAGTTGTATCCTCAAAAATTCCTCACAAGTCTCATCGAATTCAAAACACAACACGATTTTATTTCACGTAGAAACATCTCGCCGGTGGAGAATGTCGCGGTGTCGGTCGCGGCGCTCGGCGAGGGATGGCACAATTATCACCACGTGTTCCCGTGGGATTACAAAACGAGCGAGCTGGGCGACTACTCGTTCAATCTCACCACCGGCTTCATCGATTTCTTCGCGCGGATCGGATGGGCCTATGATCGAAAGTACGTCACGTCGGCGATGGTACGTCGTCGAGCGATACGCAGCGGCGACGGGACGCACGTCTGGGGTTACGGGGACACCGACATCGTGAAAGAGGATCTGCAGGAGTTGGACACGATGGACGATCATGAATTATGAGACTGCGAGCTTACTCTTACAATTAGATAGACCGAGAAACGCGACGAGGAACAACGATTCCTTGTCCGCGTGTCGTACGCGGACCACATTCAAATCTCTCGTAGATAAATTAGAATAGAACGAACAAATACGGAAATTTGCGACTCCGGGAAGAAAGTATTTATGTTGTAACGTTCTGTATATAGAACGTCTTAATTGCAAAGTAAATTGAATGTGGTTGGAAATGCAATGATTTTTGATCGAAAGATATTATAAATAAACAGAGAGACTGTTCTTATAATAAAACAAAATCCATCATAACAATATTAAAATTTACATGTTTACAAAAAATGCGCATTCGTTACTTATTTCGTGAAATTCGTAATGTTAAATTGAAACAGTAAAAGAACTTTGAGTGTGTACGTTTTCTTCGTATTTCATTTATTATTTAAAACACAAGACATAACCGTTTTATTGGCATCGTCGTGAAGATATCCGTGGCAAGTTAAAGCTTGTACATACGTATAATCGCGAAAAGCCATTCGTTCGCAATAGAAGAGATTAGTGTGTTCAACTCTAATATATATATATATAATATTATACATAATACATAATATATATATATATACATATATATAATATATATTATATATTATATATTATATATTATATATATATTTGTTAAATTTGTAGTTTTGCATTGTAAACGTTTATATTTTATTGAAACACGATTGAGTGGATACAAAGATGACGTGTGAAAAAGCTGAGCGTCGTGTGTACTGTGTACGTAAGTACGACGATTGTTTTTCACATAATTTTCATGGAATTTTTTTTCAATAGCCGAGCAACAATTCAATCAAATATTTTTTAATTTTTACTACGCACATTAGAATGAGAGAATAAAATTCTATAAAACTATATGTATTTCTCACGTATAACGAACAAATGATAAATATAACAAAATATATTTTTCTATACTCTTAAGTTATACGCTTACTTTTGCACTTTGTATCTTCAAAGTGTCACGAGCAATTAGTTTGAAAAACAGGTTGCACTGATAGCACATTTACATGGTGCCTTTTATATATGATATTCTTCAAACAACAGTTCCTATTTTGTGTATATATAGATGAACATTATTTGTTATACGTACAGTAAGAACCTGTTAGATGAAAAACAATTTCGGTATCAAAGATTCTTTGGATAAAAGATGGTATTTTTTTCTAAATACATACATAGCTATGAAATTATTTTCCGCTCGAAAAAATGAATAAGATTAAAACACAATTATGAGAAGTCGGCAATTGTTTTGCAGCAAAATTGTCGAAACAAATGATCGATCGTAAAACCGCTTAAAAAAGTGAATATTTCTTTCTTCTCAACAGGAAAACCTACTGTACATACGTTCTCATCGTCATCTTCTATCTAAATACGTTACATAGAGATAGTTTTAATATTTTAAATAAATAAACCAGAACAAAGAACGTTATAAACATCTCTAAAGTTTGACACACATCATACCTAATAACGTCTTATAATCATTATGTATAAACATATACAATATATGCTTATGTAAAATTATCAAATACATGTCTTGTTGAATATCTATATGTATATACGCTCATGTGTGAATACACATGCTGTTTAAATCATTTCTAATTGTTTAAGAATCATTTGAGCCCAAGTTTTTACAACATGATTCCAAAATCAAATATAAATTCCGAAATGTTATTTGCAGAGTGCCTTGATATATATATATATATTATATTTTCTGATATATATATATATTTATCTATATACCTTTCTTTTGTAAGAATATAACACAATTAGAATGTGAAATTAACTTTTTAATTAACAAACCTAAAAATTTCTGATTTGTGCAAAATTAATATTATGCAGCTGAGACAGTTAATTGCACTGATATTTAAAAACATAAAGCAATAGAATTGAAAATTTATTTTTTTCCGATCTTTTCTTTCATCTTTTTTTCGGTTCACAAAACTTAATAAAAATATTTGTTACGACTTAGAACAAACATTTAAAAGCCATCACAACAAGTTTTCTTTTTCTAATGATTCAAGTTTTGTGCAACGAGTAAGGAAAGTATCGGCAATCTGAACATCAGGAAATGACGAAGAAATATTCTTTCTTCATCAATATTGAACAGGGTCGTAAGGTCGACCGCATATTTTTATTGTCGACGTATATTTTCGTTTAGTGTCTTTCCGACTTTTGAGAAGTGCGTTTCGTTTTGCGACAGTTCTTGAATCAAGTCACAGGTAAATTTGTTTTTTTTTTTTAAAAAAACATATTTTTTAATGTTTTATAATTACTTTTTTGTCCTCTGTTTTTACATTTCGTTAAATAAAATATATAATAATTTTACTTTTAGATTTTAATTATACGCATCCACACAGACATTAGACATCTAGTGAATGTCCGTTGATTCCAGGTGACGTCTAATGAGCAGAGCTAGAAAGGAAAGATTTGTACAGAATATTTCTTAATATTTACTACTACTGGTATGTTAAATTAATTTTTTACAAGAGAAACAATATTTATAAAAATATGTTTTTACTCTCTTTTTTCTCTTTTAGCGTAACAGAATCGTGTCAGCCGTTCAAGAATAACATGGAGAAGATCGAAGAGAATATCAGCGAAATCAAAAAAGAGAACAGCAGTAACAACAAAGCACCGGAGAGTAATCTTAATTGGGCTGCAATCCTGTTTTACCTGTATCTTCATGTGATCGGAATTGCCGGTTTTCATATTCTGCTCACAAAAGCGAAATGGATGACATTAATTTATTGTGAGTATCGCTAAAAGAGTTACTCTTCTCCTTGTATAAAAATTACGGTCAGATAAAGATATCAATCTAATTAATCTAATTAATCTAATTAAAATAAAATAAATATTAACAAGTGTATATTGATTCTTTATACAAACAATTTAAATTTCAGTTGTATTTCTTACCGCAACGTCATATATAGGATTAACAATTGGTGCACATCGTTATTACGCCCATCAAAGCTTTGCAGCTTCATGGCAATTCAGACTGTTCGTCTTTATCGCGCATACAATTGCCGGCGTGGTAAGAAAAATATCGAATTTACTAATAACGAATAAAACTGTGAAATATCGCGAACGAAAATAATTGCGTGATTATTCAAACGAGCTAAGAAATCATCATATCATAATTAAATAAAATATACTAAAAGTAAAATGTAAAACGAAGTTTGGACTTGAATAATTTTATTGATTTTTATTAGTTTTTGATAGGTTTAAATTTTTGCGTAAAAACAAATAGCACTGTCATCTTACGCAAGCAAGTGTGGGGGGACAGCCATGAGCGTGACACTTAGAAATAAACGATGATAAGTAGGTTACTTTGCATTCAATTAACGGTAAACAAAACCATGTTTTGCAATGTACAACGATTTTACAACAATAATGCAATTGCGGCATGACGTTTACACAATCGCATAGAACAAAAAATAACAAATATAATTTAAAAACAAATATACTAAACAATAAATATAATAAATATAATAAAAATATAAAACTAGCTGTATATATATATATAATATTTGTTTAAAAGGGGCCGATATACAATTGGGTGTTCTATCATCGAGTCCATCATCGATATCACAACACCGAGTACGATCCGTATAATCATAAGAAAGGGTTTTTGTACTCGCACGTGATTGGCAATATGTTTTTAGTGCCGAGTCACGTGAAAACCAAGTACGAAATCGACATAGACATGCGAGACGTCGATGAGGATGACTACGTTTGGATTCAAAAAAAGTATGTTCTATCTATGACTCATATATATAATATATTTATACATTATATATAATATTTATATATAATATAGAAAATGTTTGTATATTTTATTTTGTTTGTGTGCAAGAGTACGTTTTTGAACTTTTATTGCATTTTTGTCTGATAATATATCATTTTGTATAATAAACACCTTGTATAAAACATCTTGCATTGCAGGTTGTATTGGATTCTCTTTATTATTTTCGGACTTTTACTGCCAATCAACATACCGATTGAATTTTGGGATGAATCATTGCTAAATGCGTTTCTAATTATCGGTGCTGCACGACTCACAATAACGACCCATTTTGCGTGGTTATTAAACAGCGCGGTGTTGGTTTGGGGCTTGACAAAAGAAGACAGGTTTTACATTTTTTTTTTTTTTATTCTATCTCGCTCTTTTCTCTTCGAATTATCAAAGAGTTTGTTTCCTTATCATATTTTGATTTTTTACATGCAAAAATTTCTTTGAAATAATTCTTCTAATGTTCAAAATAATAAAAACCAAAAACTGAATCTGACATTATTTTTCAGATATCCGGTTAACGACAATTCAGTGTTCTTCATTTCAAAATCGTATTGGCTCAATTATCATTATTTGGTTTCTTGGGATTGGAAAACTGACGAACTGGGCTGTTACGAAAACGGTTTTGCCACGTTTTTCCTCAAGATATTCCGGGAACTCGGATTCGTCGATCAAATGAAGACCAACAGCAGCGAAGATGTGAGAAAGATTCTGTGGAAAATCACAAATAATGAGAAAACGATGAAAGAGGCTCTGGACGAGTTGAAGCAAATCGCTGAGGAAACCGCACACAGAGAGAGACTTGTGTTCCATCATTGAAAATTTTGTATTTGATGTATTTTCAAAAACGTATTAATAATATATTAAAAATATGTTTAAACATTAGTGAAAATTATTGTGAATATCGAAGAAACACATTTAGACGTACTCAAATATAAAGACGCTGTGTATAAAATGAAACTTAAAATAACATGTGATTACACACTACAAAAATTATGTAAGATTTTACAATCGCTCAGCTTATAAATCACATGGTCACTAAAAAAAACGCAATACACCAAATGGTCAATAATAAAACAAAAAAAAAAAACAGATTTATCGCATCTGACTGCAACAATAATTAACAATGTTATATCATCGCAAGGAATATCATGACCGATGTCTGATGATTCAAATCTCCAAAAAAACATGGAAAACAAATTTTTTTTTTTCCTATTTTTTTTTAATCTGTTGTTATCGTCTGATTATAATTTCTCTTGTTTTTATTTGTCTGCCTTTTACCACAAAAAATCCGTGGAAGTGTTTTGGAAAAAAAAACACAGGAAAGATATGTATGAGCTCTGTCTTTACTTAAAAATATATTTTTATTAAACAATTTTTAGTAGTTATACATACTATATATGTATCTTAGTACGTCGCTCATCATTGTATAATACACCATAATCGTGCAATATCTTATATTTTATATCTTATATTATTAATTAATCGCAATAAGATTAATAATAATCGAAGGAGAATCACTTTTATCATATACGCGTACACAAAGGTTTATAGCGTATCGTATTAATAAATTTTGTATTCCGACGGATCGCGTGACTCAGTTTCTTCGGTAAAGTCGTTATGCTGTGGACGAATAAATAATAGATAACAATATTAGCTACATTATCAATAATTTGCTACACGAGAGCCTTGTTATTCAAAAATCGACAAGTCAAACACAGGAATATGCAACAATATATTACCTACTTGAATAAACGTATAACCAATTGTCTCATGCGATTGTCTCACCATGAAAAAATTCGAAGTAAAAAAAACAAGAGAGCGTGAAATTGTACTGCATTGTAAAAACACTAGTATTTGCCAACTAATTTTGTGGATTTCTCATACAAATCGTGTGATGCGTTATTTTACAATTTCGTAAAAGAAAAAGTGTAATTTGAAACGATTAATTTTCGATACGCGTTCGTCAAAAGGAAGACGCATAACAAAAGATGTTAAAGAAATCAACACATCAGAAATCAAAATCTTCTTTTCAATCGTATTTACATCACCTGTAACATAAGCATATAACATTGTGTGTTAACTGACGAGTTTTCGTCTGAAATATACATTTACTCGTAACTCTCGCAATCACATCGCAATCTTATTACTAACGACGCAAACAAATTTGCATAATCTTCCCTCCAAACACAAATAGTTTCTATATTGTAGAAATAAATTATATGTTGGAAATCTACTCGACAAATCTACAAACTAATCTAACGCGACGTGTGTGTGTGCGTGTGTGTATGTGTGTGTGCACAAGAAATAATAGGAACTTAAAGCAAAAGAAGAAACTTAAAGTCGTTTAATCGTAATGCATCTAAAGTTTGTGCGTATATCCCATGAGACAGAAACAAAAAAACAAGAACAAAAAACAAAACTAGGAATTATTTTTATTCTTATTATTGCTAATGTAAATAGTATTATTTCGCTGATGTTCTGGACAATGACTATCCGCTTGATGCTTTTTATTGATAAACAAGCGGACTAATTTCTCACATAAAAATTAATATAAAATTTGTGCAATAAGAATTTAATAGATTATTTTGATTTTCGGAAAGCTTCGTGTCGTGAGAAATTCGATCATGTAAACAAGTGTATGTAAAACTTGAGCAAAAATTTTTTAAGTTATTCGAAAAATGATTTCCACGCGCATCTTAAGAACACAGATCGTTTGCGATTTTCATTTCGCATCCCATATTCTAATTTATAGTAATATAAATTTTTACCAAAATGTAAATGTATGTAGTCAATGAAAACTTGTCAATTAAATTTCAACATGTGAAAAAATTCTACCATGTTTTTAGTTAAAGTGTATTATATATTATATTATATATTTACATATCGATCTTGTGTACTGACAAAAGTACAAATTAAGTTTTGTTTTCAGGATGTTTCAATTATGACATGCGTATCCTTCTCATTCATACGTACTGTTTTCAAAACTTTATGTAAATAATATATAACAATATATAAACTTTTTTTCATTAACAAGTCGAATGCAGTTAACTATCTTAATAAGACCAGTAAGAAAGAGCGAGCACGCGGCGTACGCGATCCAGAACACCATTACGAAAAACACATTACAAAAAATTGTTCTCTGACCGATCGTCGGATCTTCTGAGGCTGTATTATTATGGAACCCGCCAAATAATTGTGCAGCAACACGTCGAAGCGTGAGAAGATCAATTCGATCAGATTCTCCTTCACCGAAGTTCCCATGAAAATCTCCGTTGAATTTGTACAAACGGATTAAAACCGCGAGAGTTATAGACAAATGTGAAAAGAAGTTTAGTTACGTTCCAAAATCGAGATACGCTAGTCCGGCACATTAACAACACGACTCTACTGATTCTTCGTGCGATGTGTCACTATAGCGTCGTCCCTCTCTTCCTGCGTCTGATCCTTGTCGCCCCAGCCCCATAACTCGTGGCTGCCGTCGCCCGTTCTCTCCACACGTTTTCTCACCATGTCCTCGGACACGCTCTTCAGATCGTACGCCCAACCGATTCTCGCGAAGAAATCGATGAAGGCCGTGGTAAAATTCAACCTGTAGTTGCCGAGCTCGGCCGTCTTGTAGTCCCAGGGGAAGACGTGATGATAATTGTGCCATCCCTCGCCAAGTGCAAAAATGGCGACTCCTGTGTTCTCCGACGGATTGATGTATCTATATTGGATAAGAAACCAGAATCCTTTAACAGAATGTCGATTACATCGGTCCGAAACTTTTCGTAAACACGACGGAAACTTAAGATGAGAGGATTTTCTTAAAGGAACAAAATAAAGAAAACTTAAATATATTTTACGTAATTAATTGATACTAACCTGTCGTAGGGTTTGTTTCCGAAAAGATGAGCGGCGGAGTTCACCAACCACGTCATGTTCAACGTGAAGATGTAACGTAGAACAGTGGGAATGAAATAAGCGTTCATCCACGTCTCGTTCCAGCATACAACGGGAATAACGGTAGGTAGAATGAAACACAGCAGCGGCATAAGCACGATGTAATATCTGAAATGAAAGAGAAAAATGAAAAAAATCTGTTCTAGAAAAAGAAGAACCTCGTTGCGTCTGTCGATGCGACGACCGGCACCTATACACTTACTTTTTCTGGAATGCCAATATCGGATCACTCTCGAGGTCGCTCAAATCGATTCCCTTGCCCTTTTCCTTCACTTCCGGATGCTTTTTGCAGAGCAGCCAGCCCACGTGCGAGAAGAAGAAACCTCTTCTAGCGTTGTGCGGATCGGCATTGGTCTCGCTGTATTTGTGATGAACTCGATGATCCCTGGCCCAATCGATCGCGGCATCCTGAGGGAAGTATACATTTTCGAAATGATCCTGAGTTGCTTTTTTGTCGTTCAACTTAGACGCAACATATTTAATTTTATATATTTTGTTGCGTTGTTTTGTACAAAAATGTTACTATAATATTATACTATAATAACGACAATATATATCGAACAACATTACGTGTCATTTGCATATTCTCGAGTTTGAACAAAATTTAACTTCTTTTTTTCTTTTTCCTTTTACAACGCTCTGATTGCTTGTTTTGCAAACACACAGATATCGACGCATTCGATCATGCTATGTTTCCGTTGCGATATGCGACACGTGTGTTTATACATATATGATCGACATCACTGATGTCGATTCTTCACGTCTCATTGATCGCAATACAAAAAAAAAACATCGATTCTATCTTTTTTATTTAATTCATTAAATCCGTTGGTTTCGATCATTTCTATAACTTTTTCTGATTTATCGCAAAAAAAAAATTTTTAACTTTGATCTATCCGACGAAGTTCGAATTTCTCGCGAGTATTTTTATTTGTTAAATCTTCTTCTTTCGGAAGAAATTTGTCACGTACCTGAAATGCGACAGTGTTCATGATCACAAGAAGCAGCTGGAGAGGCCATTTGGCTTTGTAGGATCTGTGCGCCCACAATCTGTGAGCCCCGGCTGTGATTCCAAAGCCGCTGAATTGGTATAAGAAGTATGCTGTAATCGAGAAGATCACGATGTTATACACGCGAAGCAATTCGTTTGTGTTGTTTCTTCCTTGAGAACGATCAATCTTCATCGAATGACCGCCTTCCGCGGTAAATTACATTTAAAGACAGAGATCATCAAAGAAATTTGTTCGTAACACTCATGTCACCAACTTGTTTCGCGATCCAATAAGAATCTTCAGAACCAAATATATTTCAGTATATTTATTTTCTATCAAATAAAAACTGTTTACAATCTGGCGTGATTTTTTTTTGTTTTTTCAATATAGCGTAAAACCAGTGTCAAATGTAATATTGCTGGGAATTGCGTTGGAATTTAATCAATCAGAACGCAGTGAGTCTTTTTAGAATTGTTAAAAATTTTGCACGTAAAAAACATTGTTCATAAAAATGAACTACGAGCCACAGCAGTTTTTTTAAACTGAATATTCTGTTGTGTAATCAGAAAACGCGCATCGACTAGAGCAGCTTCTGGTTAAGTTTCCGCGCTTCCGGTCAGAGTCCCTACACCGTAATCATCGGAATGGAACTAATCGCGGGAGATAGTTTTAAGATAATCTAGGCGAAATAATAAAAAACTACTACTACTGTTCGCCAGAAGCAACGCAAGTTCGTCGAATGCGATATATCAGACTATCTAATCTCGCTAATTGTTTGTTTTAAAAAGTTTTGCGTCAGTATAAAACGTGCACAACGAGCTCATGCATTTGCAGTTTTGGTTAAAATAACAATTTTTTTTACATAAATGTTCTACAGTCGCTCCTTGAAATTTGCTAAACACAGATAAAGACATATTTGACTATCAAATGCCTCGTGGCTTTTACTTTCAGATAACATTAGGTTTGTTCGGGGAAAAAAAACAAACCTATTATCGCACAAAACCGTGCAATTAAAACAATTATACATATATATCGTGCGTTTTAACAAAAGACTAACTCACCAAAAATGACGGTCGCTAATTTGGCGGAGGTAATCGCGAGATAAACTCCATAAAGTGCGCCAAGATGAAGGTAAGCAAAAATCAAAACGTTTCTCCAAACGATGCTCCTGACGTACTTGGGCTTCTCCTTGGATTCTTCAATCAGTGGCTCGGCCACGGTTTCGCCCTCAAAAAGGACTCCGGTCGGTGTGCTGGTCACATTCGGTGCCATTCTCATTTAGATTCTATCAACAACAAGATAAAAATTGCCATTTGTTATTAAACTTGTCTTCGAACGTTTGTCACTGTTCTATTCGCCAGTGACTAGTATCTATCTGTAAATATTTAGTTTTCCATTTTTTTTTTTTTTTTTTGACAGACTAGTAGTCAACAAAACTTATAAATGGAATTAAAGTTTGAAAAAAAAAAAAAAAAGAAAAAATAACGAAGAAGAAAAAAAGGAAAAAAACACGAGATACCCGAAATGCAGTACAGAATACTTTGTGAGAACGCAATTAGCTGGAAGTTGTTTTTATTGAAATCGAATTATTTAATCAACTCTGAAATATGAAAGCCGGGAATAGAAGCCTCCTTTGTGACGAGGCGTAATCATATTTGCCCGTGGCTCGTTACACACGGGCAATGATGAAGCTGACATGACTCGCGTGTCACGTAATTAACGACGCTTCGCTAGAATCGAATATCCCGAAAGCATCGCGGAGCGAATAGCGCGGCAACAGCAAGCGTGACGCAAGAGCAATCGATAAAAGAGTCAAGTCGACGCGCAAATACATGTGGAACATATCGCACCAAGTGTCCTCTCTTTTATTCCCGGAGCCGTAAGGAAAGCTCCCGCACGTGTGGACTCGCGATTCGTTTATACAATATTAAAAGCGAAATAACGCCATTTGAAAATTCATTACATCAGACGATTATGTATGCCGGAGAGTTCCGGAAATGTATTATATCTTACACCTGCAAGTTCGGTACACCGGATTCGCGCTCGCGTTAATTTGGCTGCCGGTGTTCCAAAAAGAAAGCAATTTAATTTTTGTCAATGTGACACTTGTGAGACTTTCACCGGTCGCGCGACAAAACGTTCTTTGCATCATTCGATCGAAAAGCAAAAATGACAAGTTTCACCTTCGTGCGTAATAAACGGAATAGTTTTGCCGCATAAGAATGTCGATTTTTTTTTATGTTAATAAAAACCCGCGGAGAGCAAATAATTCCGACGTATATATTTTTAAGAAAAATAACGGACGTAAAAAAAAAAAAATATTATTATAATATACAAACATAGACAATCAGATAACGCATATCACGGACTTTGTGCTCTGTGTTGTCATGATAAACAAAACATGCATTCTGATCAGAATAATCTCAACTCCTTTTTTGCTTATCGTCAATAATGGATATTGCATGTCTTGTCTTATATTTATATCTCTTTGTTTGAATAACGCAATTAATTTTTAGAACGACACATTGTGAAATATAAATATAAGACAAAATATGCAATATTCATTAAAAATAAGCGAAAAAGAAATTGAGATTAATCTGATCAGAATACATGTTTTGTTTATCATGATAACACAGAGTACAAAGTCCGTGATATATATATATATATATATATATATATATATATATATATATATATATACACGTGTGTACAAGTACATAGAATATATAATATGTATATTACGTGTATATAAATTTTAACGAATTGCTTAAAACTTTTAATGACTACAATTTCAACTCGCTTTCTCATCAATTTGAACCCATGAATAGTCAACAATAACGTATATAGATAACCCCGACCGTGTCGTTACAAATGTACCACAGACTCGACCCAATCTGTCTCGTCCCTCAATTGCCTCGTACACGCAAAAACGCGTATACGATTCCGAGGATCCGCCTATGTTTCCTCGCGATCGCGAATATATCGAGATGGTCTCGGCGATGCCCGGTCGAGGACCATCTATCGACTGCCGGCTGGATCCTCATCGGACGTCTCCCAGGCGCAGGCTCGCGCGTCGCCGGGACGCTGACACAACGACGAGCTTCACGGCCGCCTGCGCGAGGTCTCCGCGTTTCATCATTATCAGGTGAGAGATCAGCTGATCTCGTTGAGGGGACAATTCGTTGAATAGGACACTATCTCACTCGGATCGGGAGTAAGATCGAATAAACAATAATTGACATCGCAAGCAGAAGTTTGTCAGAAATGTCGCACGGTTTTGTTTTTAACTTCTAATTTTAATTTAAATTACATTTGATCAAGGAGAGAAAGAAAACAAACGCAACTTCGCGTGAAAATCACGTGTTTCTGCAGTGAGTCATCATTTTACTTCAATAATAATGCGATGAATTGGTAAGTTTATCGACTGTGACTTGTTTAAATGCAAATTTTTTTTTAATGTCTTACTCACGTTTCATCGGTTATGCAAGAAAATAGTCACGTGTAAGAAATAAGAAAGTAATATGTGGTAAGTATCGACTTAACATGTGATTGTTCCTTTTATCACAAAAAATCGCGTATTTGCCGCGTAAATTAACTAACTTATTATATGATACAATATACTCGTATCTGTGTGTTTATGAATTGTCTTTAGTTTATATTTTATTTATTGTATTTAAGGTGCCTTTGTAAGCTACTGCCTCGCTTTTTAAAACGATTTTTTTCTTTTTCCGTATAAATCTGTTAATTTGACGTTTTTAATATTTATTATTATTATTATTATTATTATTATTATTATTATTAATTACCACCTTTATTTTTATATATCTACATATGAACTTTTTACTTTCTTTAAAGTTCATGTTGTAGGCGTCTTGTTGTGTGCTTGTGTCTGTACGGCAACTTCTGTGTATCATGTTGCTTTAAAGGTGAACCTACGGTTACAAGATTGAGGACGCGGCCTCTGTAAGTCGATTCGTTCGAGCGAGTGCGATCACTGTCAAGGTCACACGGCGCCAAGCCAACCAGCAATACCCACTGCAGTCGTCTGGCACGATGTTATCACGTGGTGACTGTCAAAAACTTTGTTACGTGCGTCTGAACCGCATCAATCACTAACGTGATTTGCTTGACAGTGCCGATAATCAAGGTTTTATTGTGATCATCAACACTCTTATCTTAAACAACGCAAGTTGTCAAAATATGCCAGTTAGTTGTTACGTAGGCGTTTAAATCATTAATTCAAAGAGGCGTTTACACATAATGACTGACGTATTGATTTGGGAAAGTAGCGTAAATTAATGTTTAAGATTGATAATGTCGCAATGAGAAAGAAACGTCTCATTAAAGACATTTCTGATAGTTTTGTTTTTATTCACGTATCTCACAAAACAACGTGGCTTTACGTGCTTCATATAAATGTTTTCTTCTCTTCTCGATGTTATATAATACATTTTTATCTCAAAATATATATTTTTGTGTTAAATTACGTGCAATATATACAATTGCGACAATTTATAAAAAATAATTTAAACTGAATTGCGCGTATTTTTTTCTCTAAAACAATTGTTAACGCGTATAAAAATGCTATTTTTTTTTAACTAGCACAAGTTTTGTATATGAATATATTTCTGCATAATAAAAAACACAAGCATATTGTTAAGAAACTTTAAACAAACACGTGTGTCGTAACGCATCACTATCAAGTGAAAAAAAAGTTGGAGATCAAAATTACTTGACTGCATGGTGTCGTATATAATACATCAGTGCATCACACATACATCACGTGTGACAAATTTGTTTTGAATAATTTCGTTTTTTACATCAGAAGTCAGTGTTTTTTTGCACATAAATTTTAAAAACAAACAAGATAAAAAGTCAATCACATTCATATATTATCTGCGCAAAACAACTGCAAAGAAAAAAAGATTATGTAATGGTGTTTGGTTTGCAATATCGTTAATTTTTTGCAGACCGGCCTCAAAAATGATCACCGAGCCGAACAAACTGATTGTGAGAGACCCCCTGTGATCTTAAAATCAAATATCTTCGTGAAAAATCAACATTTTTTTTCAAGTTTGTTTTCTTAAACCAAACGTTTGAACAATTCTGCGTTGATAAAAAAAAATTAATCGAAGAAGTCTCTAGTAGTTTCAAAGATACAAGCGTTTAAAACAAATCTTTTTAAATTTTACTTAGAAACGCAGATGCGTAATTTTTGAATGGATCTGGAAGAACCCGTGTCTGTCCGTGAAAGATTAATATCATTCATATCAGCGACGGGAAGCAAGAGACTAAATATTTTGTTTTCGTTTTTCAATGTGAATTTGATATAACGGACGGAAGATTACTAGAATTCAAATCTCGCGAAATAATCTCGAACATAGATTTCGACATATTGGTTTCACTTTTTATTTTTATCTCCGGTTATGTAAAACGTAAACAGAATGTAACCGTATAAATAATGACAAGCATGTTTACTCATTATCTATAATACATTCTTAGATAACATTTTATCTTTTTCTTTCATTCGGAAATTTTCTTGTCAAAAAATTATGGAATTACATTTTTTTTTTTTTTTTTACTACAGCACACACCTTGATAGCTCGACAAAGATTTTCTAGTGTTTCTTTTTATTTGATGTGTGCACTTTGTGCAGAAAGACAAAATGTTTACAAATTTTTTCCATTCGTGAGAGAAATTCTTGCGAAATATGTTATCGACATTAACGCTTCCTTATTTAAAAAACCTCTCTCTCAGAGCGATATCCTCGACCGATCTCAAGATCGCGCAGACATCTCATTACTTTTCTTTTTCTTGCTTTTCAGACCGTAAATGATAGCGGTACCGGTCGTGCCGGTGGAAGGAACTGACGAGATGATTTGATGTGTGCACGTATACATATTTATACACACACGAAGCCAGTGATAGTCCCAGCCTGAGCCTCAGCTGAGACCGTCTGAGCCAATAAGATCGCATCGTACGACTCTCGCCACCTGAAAGCGGCGAATGATGTCGAGCGAAACTGGTCAGACGGTCTTTCGACAATATCGACCGCGCGCTTCCCATTGACCGTACTGAACTACTGACTGGTTCAAACCGTCGTCGAGAGTATTGTCACGTTTTATAAACGTGAACACTTGTAAAAAAAAAAAAAAAGAAACCGGTTTGTGTAAATAATTTTTTTTTCTAAGATTCAAAGTCCGACGAGAAATTAAGATTCTTCTTTCTTCTCTTGCGTAACATATAGCAAAACAACCTTGCATAAATTCGGAAGAAATAATTTATGTCAATCAAGTTTAAGATAAATAATTTATTTTTTATCAGCGCACATAAATCACCGATTTGCGCAACTGCTAAATCATCCGAGCACACATTAGCTAAGAATTTTGATTTTTTTGTTGATAGTTCGCTCTCTCTCTCTCTCGCGTACTCAGCATCAATTTTTTTTCCGATCGTTATGTCGTTTCCCCTCTACGAAGCGAATTTACTCGCGGATAATCAAAGTGCTCGCTGACCCTTGCGTCAGGCGTCCATCGTATGATGCATCATTCACCGTGATTTCACGCGTACACGTCACGTATACGTGTGTTCTAATTAAATCTTTTCTTCGTCGTATTTTCCTTCAATAGTTTTATTTTCAGCTACTAGGTATACGCTACTAAGACCATTATTGAAAAATTATTGAAACCATTAGTAAAAATTAATTAAAAACATGCTGTCGTTAGCGATATTCGAAAATTTTACGCAGTATAGCAAAAAATATTTTTGTGTTTCATATATTATTTTCGCGATATTGTCACGTAAATATATATGTATATATATATATGTCTATAAATATTATTTTAATTATTTATTATTTATATATAATTTCTATAAGTTTTATTGATTTATTAGTTGGCTATTAATTTTTACCTAATCGATCGCTTTCCTTAACTTTCGCTTTTTAACAAAATACGTGTGTAGAAAGTATCATCCAAGTTTGTATTATGTACTTGTGATTCTGTGTGTGCGCGCACACATCTTTCGGCGCGCGACCACGTGCGCGCGAACCACGATACATAATCGCTGCGATCGTATTGGTTGACACGGCTCGTACGACCGCGTGGCTTGTTCATTCTGGCACAAGTTGCCAGACTCACACAGACGCACGTGAACGCCAGATACAAATATGCATATCTCTTTCTCTATCATCTCTTTCTGTCACATTTTTTTATAAATTGGCAAGTACATTCAAAAACTTCTCACGTTCTGCAAAAGCGATTGTTACATAAAACACATTTTACATAAAAATATATTCACATACATATACCTATGCATTCTAATTGCTAAGGCCGCTATCACTGTTTAATAAAAAAAGACGAGATATTTATTACATCAAGTTTCTCTACGAATTGTTTATGTAAATAATATTTTTTCTATAAATGTGTACTGAAAAATGTATAATATACATACATATTTATATATATACGTGATGTCTCTCACGTATGTACGTACGTACACGTCACGTAAGACGCTCGATCTGGCCAAGAACATCGACTGATCACGCACTTACGTTGTGACACTTGGTAACAAAATTATTCCACAAGTGAATTTGCACAATACTGTGGGATCCCGCAAAATACTTGTAAGATAACGTCATTGATAAATTTTCTTCTCTTGTTCATTGTTTTTGTTTTTGATCAAAACAAGTTGATGTTAAATAAATTTTTGTTGTAAATATATAGATTAAGTGCAGTTTGATATGCTCGTTGCAAAACTACATACATATATATACATACGCGATTGACACACGTATGTGATTTTATCGAATCACACTGGGTAATACCGATAATTAAAAATGCGTAAATAAAAAATCAATTGTTATCTGTTGCTAAATACTATAACAAAAATGCCTTCGCATACATTATATGCAAGTAGTACATTTAAAATGAAAGATCATTGATCATGTGGAAAATAAAAAATCTACATATACACGTGACATAACAATTTGCAAGTAAAAATTAAACACT